AAATAGTCTATATATATAAAATACAAACTATTTGAGCACAAGTCTTAGGAGGAGTCATTGAGGGAGCTGGGGTTGTTTATCCTGGAGAAAAGGAGACTTGGAGGGGACCTTCTTGCTCTCAACAGCTCCCTAAAAGGAACCAGTAACGAGGTAGCAGGTTGGTCTCATCTCTCAGGTAAACAAGTGAGAGGACAAGCAGAAATAACCTCAAGTTGTGCTAGGGAATGTTTACATAGGATATTAGGAAAAATCTCTTCACTCAAAGGTTGGTTAGGCATTGGAATAGGCTGTCCAGGGTGGGATCATCAGCCCTGGAATTGTTCAGAAGGTGTGTGGATGTGCCACCTGGGGATGTGGTTTGGTGGTGAACACAGTGGGGCTGGCTTAACAGTTGGACTCAATGATCTTAGAGGTCTTTTCCAATCCTAACGATTCTGTGCATACGTACATACATGTATATATGTTTTTTATATCTCTTTCCCTACATGTGCATTCCACTGCCTCAGGTAATGCTTCACTATATTGTCAGCTGCAATGTGTAGCCCTAAATCAAGTGTATCCTAAATGGCCTTCCCAACTTCAGAAAAATCATCAAAAAAAGGCCTGATCAGCATGAGGAAGTGAATCACTCAGGAGCACTGATGGAAACAAGTATTCGTGCCAAGTGATGTAAGCCAGTACCCAGGGATATGTAAATGTCTTATAGAAGAGACAGGGAGGGTGAGCCAGCTATCCAAATCTCAACTTCCCACCAAAAAAGATCCGGGTGAAGTGGAAAGCAGTGTTTTAGATACCCATGGTTGGTATCATACCACTAACAGTTTATGCCTCCAATTTCTGTCCAGTATTTCCCTTCAGAAAGGGGTTGGTTATCTTCATCTCTGCCCTCTGGGGCTCTGCCTTCATCCCATGGTACCATGACTCCATTGGAGCAGTGGTGTGAATAAAGGCCTTTGGGGTTAAGGCATTCGTTTCCTCACAGAAAAGGAACAAAATGGCAAAAGCCTATCTCGATAGCAGTGTTATTAAACTCAGCCAGGTTTTCTGGTTAAGTTGTAAAAATCACTTGAAATACTTTCCCTATGGGGCTATATATTCTTCTACAGTTCAGCAAAGTACTTCTGGCAAGATTTTTCTCTTTCATCTCAAAATGATGGAGTAGAGTACTACAAAATCTGATTTAGAATTCCTCTTTTGTCTTGTTTGCTGTTAATGTTGTTGTGGACTTTTATTTTCCAATAGTTGGCCTCATAGTTAAGATTGGGGTACTCATGAAAGGCTGGAGGTACACAAGACAGGTGGAGGAAGCACAGTAATCAGATACCATGCTTGCAAACCACTGCTAATTGATAAATAAATCAAACTATGTTATGACTCCACACTTTTCAGTTGAGCTGCCCCTCAAATCCTGTGTTCAGTTTTGGACCCCTCACTACAAGAAAGACACTGCGGTGGCGGAATGTGTCAGAAAAGGGCAGCAGAGCTGAGGAAGGGTCTGGAGCACAAGTCTGATGAGGAGTGGCTGAGGGAGCTGGGGAGGAAAGAAGACTCAGAGGGGACCTTCTCACTCTTTACAGCTACTTAAGAGGAGATTGCAGTGAGTGGAGGGTCAGTCTCTTCTCCTAAGTAACAAGCAGTAGGACAAGAGGAAATGGAGCCAAATTATGCCAGGGGAGGTTTAGATTGAAGAGTAGAAAAAATTTCTGTACAGAAAGGGTTGTCAAACCTTGGAACAGGCTGCACAGGGAAGTGGTTGAATCACCGTCTCTGGAAGTATTTAAAAGACATGTAGACATGGCACTTTCGGACATGGTTTAGTGGTGGGCTTAGTAATGTTGGATCAGTGGTAGGACTCAATGATCTCAAAGGTCCTTTCTAACCTGAATGATTCTGTGATTCCATGCTTTAGGCAAGGAGGATATTGATAGTCCTGAATTACGAAGAGGAGTTGTTTTATATCACTGATGCTCTTTAAAGTAGCAATGACATAGAAGTTGTCATGATGTGCATGGCCCTTTGTTTTAGTACAGAAGAAACCAAGAAAAGAAACTTACTTGAAGGGTGGCATTTGAGGTACTAGATGTCTGTATGTTTTACAAGCTTTCCACACCAGAGATTTGGCAAAGGTCAGTCTTCTATCATATGCTAATACAAATCTAAATAGAAAATGTGCTTGCTTATTACTTTATTTAAAAAAAAATGTACTGCAATCCTCTTATGGTAATAGTGATTCCTGCAAAGACTTTCCATGTTGAAATAGCTTATGTTCATGATTGACACCTTTGAAATCTGAGAAGTTTAAGTGAGTAAGTGAGCTGACACAACACAGTTTGCAAACATTAATCCCCCAACAGCTGTGGGCAAGCAGTGTGGGAGGATTGTTCTCTTTACCAGTGCAGGAACCATGGTGTTGAAGCAGTTGTTTCCTTCTCACAGAAAGGATCTCCTTTATAGTCACAGTAGAATCTACCATTGTCTCTATGGCATGGATGCCATTGACACACATTGGTGGACACTTCTCTCAGCAGAGGGTAGCTTCTGGACTAAAGCATTTTTAATTTCAGTAGAAATAACTTCCTACTTCACCTTTGCCTCATGCCTATTCTTTTTTCCACCATTGGGTCAGGAAGCTGAGTGGAAACAGCTATTGATGTAACACAACACTTTCTTCAAAGTGCTGTTCCTGCCACAGTTTTTCACTGAATTAATTTTTCTCCTAAGAAGCAAGTATTAAATTCCACTCCACAAAACACTCTGTGAGAAAGTCAGCAGGCAGATAAGATCTACCTCTGTATTTCTCCATCTTTTTTTCTTCTGTCAGCATTCAGGCCAAAAGCCACCAAGGGTTGGTATCCTTATTCCAATTCAAGTCTTCTGACCTAATCTTCTTTCTTCTTTCTTGTGCCCAGGTATGCTGGGGTTTTGTGCTAGAGAAAAATGCAAATCAGACTAAGGCTCTCCTGCAGTCATAGATATATACGTGTGTAGAAGATGCATGTTAAGGCCCATGCTTCAGAGAAGTGTTTAAGAATATGTAGAAACTGGCAGATACCAAGAGTGACTGGAACAGAACACTAAATAGTTTTGCGTGTAAAACTTATGTGTAGGTTGGGTGTTCAACTGCATGCTCTGAATCGGGGGAGGGAGGGAAATCATATTTTTCAGCATCCCCAAGGCTGTATTTAATTGTTCTAGTCAGGTCTGTCCCTTTTTGTAAGTGGAAGTTCATGGAGGATTTCTAGCAGAAGGAGATCCTCCCCAGCTCAAAATGTAGACCAGCCAATCAGACCCTGAAAACCTTCCATTTCCTAGAGGGTTTTACTCCTTTTCCATGTTTGAGTTTGGTTATTGTCAGCTGACAGAGTATTTGCATGCATGCATCGAGAGGGTAAGGGAAGAGGTGAGCATGTGCTCCAGCAGCCGCAGGGTATTCAGAGCCGAGGCGTTTCAGCACGTGAAGGAATCTCTGACAGGTTCGTGGGTTGATCTCAGTTCCTCGTATGTAGGACAGGAGTCACCTCCTTCTCCACCTTGCTGTTTTGCTGAAGGAAGAACATTTTATTTTTCACATTTGAGATGCCATGGTGAATAGAGATGTTCTGTAGTGATTAAAAAAAAAAAAAAAAGTAAGAATCTGTTTTGTTGCAATATTTCAATTTAATTTGTTCCTTATTTTAAAGACATTTGGAAATTTGAAATATATTCTGTTGTCTCAAGCACTGCATAAAAACTTTATTCTCTTAAGAGGCCAAATAGTAATTCCTAATGCCCTGGGACTTTGTAGTTGTTCTGGCTTTTATGTGCATGTGATTGAAGAAAGAGTCTCCCAGCTCCCCCTTGTGTGGATGCTTGACTCCTGCTACGTCAAGCAGAAAACAACTGTGATTTGTGCTGCTTTTGATCAGACATTTCTACAACGCTTTGCTGCTGGAAAGCAGAATAATACTGTCACAAATTTTAAATTAACAAAATATGCCTAGAAGGGATTGGTAGCTCTTGTTCATCTGATTAATGTCAGACTTGTAAAGTCTGTTCTGCAACAAAACCAGCAGCAAATGCTCAAGTGAGAGATGTTAAAAACAGAGACTCTCCATTTTAGTGCATCTTTGTGTTTTAGTTATAATCTATTACTGAAGCACCCAGGACCAAATCACAAAATCAACTAGCATCAAGGGACTTGAATTAGCTTATATCTGTGTTCACTTTTAATTAGATTTGAAATGGCTATCCCACTGTAGTGCAGAAAGCAAGTCAGTACCATCCCCTCAGGCCTTATTACTGACAACAACCTTAGCACAGATCTGCATATTCAGCAGCTGGGTGAATAGGTGCTATGTATTGGGAAATACAGGCAGGATTTTAAAAACATAGGATGTATTTCATACAACTCAATTTTTGCTCTTGAGTTGGGGACTGAGGGAGTTTCCTTTCTAAAATGTTCATATCCTGGCAGGAGTTTTTGGATGCAACTTTTGCCTAACAGGTATCAACTTATGATAATATTTTGCTGCTCAACAGTGAAATCAAAGCAGCACTAGTAGCAAATATATTCTGTGCCACCTGATGTGTTTTTATGGGTTTATTTTTCCCTTATGTACATTTCTATTCCTCCAAGATGTTCTCTGAGACATTTCCAATTTCAGCACTCTGCCTGTCTCATCTAATTCAATTGAAAGCTCTTCTGAGCAAGGACCATATCTGGATTCTGCTTTCAAGTTTCATAACTCAGCAGTTCTGCAAAGTGATCTTTTTTTAAAAGTATCATGATGAGGGAAGGAACTTAACTTCTCCATGGGGATTTTTCACATGAGAAGAGCATATCTTGATCTCCTAAACTTTCATCAATACCATACTCACAGGCACTCCTACCTTCATTTGCTCCACTCCCATTGGAAATGGTCAGTCTGATAAGCAAATTTTACTTTGGGTTTCTGTTAGATGGGAAGAGGTTTTGTTTTCTTTATTTCACTGTATCATTTTCCCTTTTGCTTCTCTTTCAGGCGTGAACAGAAAGGTCAGCTATTCCCTGGCAGACTCTGCAGATGGTTACTTCTCAGTTGACCAGTCATCAGGAATCATTATTTTGGAGCATCCTCTTGATAGAGAGCTTCAGTCTTCCTATAACATCACTGTAAAGGCCTCAGATCAGAGCATTGTGCTGACCTTGTCCTCATTTGCCACCGTGACCATTACAGTGCTAGACATTAACGACAACCCCCCTGTGTTTGAAAGAAGAGATTATCTTGTTACAGTACCTGAGGACACCTCACCTGGCACTGAAGTCCTGTCTGTTTTTGCTACAAGCCAAGACATTGGTACTAATGCTGAAATTGCCTATCTCATCAGATCGGGGAATGAGAAAGGGAAGTTCAGGATTAACTCGAAAACAGGTTTGTAAAGTGGCTCTTAATTGTAATGCTAATTGAAAGCATCAGAAAAAGATGAATGCTTTCGGAAGGCTCTTGAACCAAAAGATTTCCAAGACCAGAGGCTCGCAACTTGTCAGTGTGGAATTAGCTACACAGTTAAAACTAATTTTAGGTTGAAGGGTGATGTCAATTACAATCATGCTTAGCTGCCCCAACTCAAGTGGAGAATACTTTTCTCCATTAGTATGTCTGTTGAAGTCAATGTAGATGTGACAGCACATTAGCCAAACTGTGCAACCCTTATGGGTCTGAATACTTACAATGTTTACTTGCTTACCAGCTAAGTACAGCCTCAACTGTCTGCACATTAGAAAGCATCAAACAGAGCTACCAAATAGGTGTCAGTCCTAACATGTGATTGCTATTTATGTAACTGTATGCAACATTCCTGACTTAAGTTGTTCTGACTTGTCTTTTCTGACAATTGACTTCAGCACTGATTTGGGCTGCGCTCTTTTTGGTTATACATCACCAATGTTAAAAATATACTGCTGCTTCTCTTTAAGAAATACCAAGAAAAACTATCATATTTGGTACAAATGGCTTGTTTTCTTCAAACTTCCTTAGTGGGGTATATTCTTTATCCTTATTAAGGTTTTAATCCATCACTATGGATTGAGCAATGCAATCGTGATTTTGAAAGCTGAAGGTAACACTTGAATGCAGCTGTAATAACCAGTAACCTGGAAATTCTCAAAATGATGCATTGTGTCATTTATATAGTTGTGTGCAAAATTCATTCTCCACTCTGCAGAGACCACTGCCTTACATGGAAGGGACTTAACATAACTGTGTGTTGTCTGTCATCTGCATAATGCTGATTAGGGCTAACAAAATTTAAATATAAATACGCCTAGACAGAGATACTTAACTTCACAATTGATAATGAAGCCAAGGAAATAAATCAATAAAAACCCATAATGAACTTTAATCACACAGGGGAAAAAAACCCCAAAACTAAAAGTATATAGTATTCATTAATGTGTGACAGCTCTGTTATTATCAGTTTAGAGGAAGGAGCTCAGTTTCTAGACAGCCAGGTGGTGATGTAGCATGTCTGATCAGAGCTTGAAAAATAATGTCCTTCACACCATTTATCAGCGAGAACTCTCTGCTAGCCACTTGGAAGCTTCTCTTCAGGGCTCCTGCTTTCAGCACATTGTGCTGAAAGGTAAAATTCATTTGGAGAGAACCCAGACAAGATTAAGAGGAATGATCTGAGGTCTGTAAAATGTGACTTACGAGGACAGACTGAAGGAATTGAGGCTGTTTAAGCTGGAAAAAAGAAGACATGCTGTTAGTATTCAGGCCTGTAAAAAGTACCTATATAGTGGAGGGGAATAAACTATTCTCCATGCCCAGTCATGGGTTGTGAATGGGTTTAAATTGCATTTGGATTATTTTGGTTAAACAATAGGAAGAAATTCCTAATTGTAATGATGGTTAAGTGCTGAAATACATTTCGTAAGAAGGTTAGGAAACTGATGTTGCTGAAGGTTTATGTTAGAGATGAGTTAATTCAAGAATTCAAGAATGATCAGGTTGAGCTGACCTACGCTGGGCAGCAGCTGGGCTAAATGGCCTTTAAGCCCCACACATACCTGCTTCTGGTGTGTCTGTATTGAAAAGGATTTGGCTTGCCAAGGTTCAGGGTTTTCTTTTAAGTCTTTCCTGCCGTGCCTGGTATTGCCTCCTTCAAGGCATCACTAGTAATCTGTGCACAACCCACTCCACCTTCTTGTTAAGGTTATGGGAACAAAGTGGAGAGCTTGCATAGAAATAATTTCTGTTCTAGAGGGAGTCGGGGTGCATGGAGTGAATCAAGTTACAGAGAATCTTAATTTTGGTTGTGTGGTAAAGTAACGCAAAATTTATAAAACCTAGTTGAGCGGGAAAGTCTCTGTTTAATCACATAATTGGTAGACAACTGATTTCTCAAAGGTATTCATATCCCATTCATTTGTATTTAATTCGTGAGAAGTTAATTGTGTGGGAGTGAATTTCTGTTGACTTGTCAGGGCTAATTTCCAGAGTCGACATCCAGTTCTCCCAAAGGCTCTGTGCATGAGATGGTAAATGGATGGATATGGCCCCCACTTCTTCATCTATGATACTCATATAATGAAGGTTATTTTCAGGAGAAGCCATTCATTGCTTCATGCCTTGTAAAGGTCCTTTCTGCAGAGGCAACCCAAATGCAATTGGCGTCATTCTTTAATCAAATGACAGCAGTAGAAACCTGAAAAAAGCATTTTTATTGGATTGGGCAGTCTTACAGTTAGTGTTGTATGTGTGCCATGGTGATAAATAGCATGCTGTACTGTTTACTACAGTCAAATCCCTTATTCCATGGCATTATTTGTTTTTTGCTGGCTGTTGACTTTCCCTCCTTTGCTTCAAAGGAGTGATTTCCATTTTTGAAGCTTTGGATTTTGAATCCTGTAAGGATTTCTACTTAGTAGTGGAAGCAAAAGATGGAGGTACTCCAGCCCTGAGTGCCGTTACAACTGTAAACATAAACGTGACAGATGTCAATGACAACGCTCCAAAATTCAGCCAGGAGGTCTACAGTGCAGTCATCAGCGAGGATGCAGCCGTCGGGGACTCGGTGATATTGGTGAGTGAGGCCATCAGAGGGGTTTAGGTGGGGCGAAGCCCTCTGCCACATGACCCTTCCTAAAATACTGCTACACTGGTTAATAATGATAATTACCACATCCTGAATCCCCCAAACTGTTCTCTAGCCAATACTCTGCATTTACTACTGCTTTCCAGGCTGCTGTAAGTTTCTCCCCAAAAGACAGTAGTAGTAGTAGTACTGAGTATTTCTTTTAAACCTCTATATGCTGTCAAAGAGCAATGACATATCCAAGGCATATTCAAGGCATTGCATTTCATGAGTCAGCTAGAAACAAATGGGTTTTAATAGAAAGGCGGAATTCAGCTTTTCAGAAAGTAAAATCACAGAATCAGAATCACAGAATGGCCAAGTTTGGAAGGGACCTTAAAGATCAGTCTAGTTCCAACCCCCGTGCTATGGACAGAGATGCCTTTCGCTACACCAGAGTTCAGAGCTCAGAGCTCCAAATAGATAGTATCTGTGTAGTCTGGAATGCAGTGTGTCATACCCAAACCTCCCAATACTCTGATTTTGCTAGTTGTAGATTCAGAAAGAAAGTGTTATATAGAATATTAAGATTAAAATATTCTGTATTTCTTAGGGCTATAATTTTGAGAAGGTCCAAGGAGAGCCTCCTATCAAAAACTGATTAGATTTGTGCTTGTTGCTGTAGAGGTGTGCAGTTCAGGTGTAACTAATCTGACGGAATATGAAGTCTAAGTTTTTGGAGTGTTGAGCAATTAATGTATCATACAGATCACTTAATATTTGTTTTGCTAATTTTTACTCTTCTCTCAAAAAAAGTTGATAGCAGAAGATCTGGACAGTCCTCCCAATGGCCAGATTCATTTTTCCATAGTGAATGGGGATCAAGACAATGAATTTTCTGTTGATCCTGTTTTGGGACTCGTGAAGGTTAAAAAGAAACTGGATAGAGAAAGGGTAAGACATGTGGAACTTCTTAAATTGCAATGACTTACAGATGTGCATCCGTCTTTGCTTGTCTGCTAGCTTGTGTTGAAGGAGTTTCTTTTATACTCTACAGCGATCAGTCTGAGATGCTCCAACCGGTCTTTCTAATGTTTTCCCACTTCTTTCCATGCCAGCCCTCTCCCTAACCCTATCTACAAGCCAACTGTTCTGCTACCCTTCCCATCCTGCACCAACAGAGCAGCTGAGGTCAGATGAGGGGGAAAAAGACAACAGTGGATTTCTCCTGTGGTACCAGTGGCAGCTGTCGCTGCCTTCCCTCTCCTGCACGTGCAAGCACACACATGCAGCTGTGTGTGCAACAGAGAGATTACAACATACTCCAGATTGTGGCACCGAGCTGAGACCTCAGGCTTTAATTAGTGCTCTGCAAAACGTGTCATTGGGGAGGGGATGTTTTGAAGTGGCCAGGCTGAACCAAAAGTGAAAGAGTGCTTCATTAACAGATTCTGCTGCTTTGTTTGCTCACTCCATTATTCATTCAGGATTATTTATCACCATTTTGCCATAGCTAGCAATTAGCAGCTTTTGGAAAAAAAACAAACAAATGCAGTTGCCTGTGCTGCTAGCTGGGCAGGAGAGTGCTAAATGGCTTCAGAAATGCTTCCTGCCTCCCAGCAATGCATCCATGAAACTGGAGAAGCAGATTGCTACCCTCAGAATAAAGGCTCAGCTGGAAAAGCTCTTTACTGGAAGCAAAGCTACTGTTTAGAATAGTGGCAAATATCCTTTCTGTATTATCACAAAGGCAGTATTAAATTGTCAGTATTTGGTTGCGGAATGACTTTATCAGAGATTGTCGAGGACAGGAAAGTAACAATGGCTGTGCCTGTTACAAATTGACTGTAATAAAAGCACAGGCTTAATTTCTTAAGGTGACTTTTTTTAGTTCCTGAAGCGCACTCATGTACAGCTACATTTAGATACACACATTTCCCTTCACCACCATCAGCAAGTTTAATGCCATCTCTGTTAGATCTGTATTTTCCAAAGTTTCACTCTTGAAATAAGCTGTGATACTGTCTTTTTCTTTACTTCCTTGGCACATTTCCTAGACACAGGTGTTTCTGACCCCTTCAGGGAGAACGATACATGATGCCCCATCTGCTGCAGATTCCCAAAGGCAGTGCTGACTCCCAGGTTTTAGTGGTTTAAGGAAACTCATTTCCAGAGCTGTAATCACATAGAGACCATGACTTTTGCCATCTACCTTCCTGGGATACATTGAAATGAAAGCAAACAGTGCAAAAAAATGGGAAAGGGCTTACAAAACTGTCCATCTTGTCTTTAGCTAGGGGTAGAAATTACAGTTAAAAAAAAAATACTAATTATCTGTCTCAAGTTTCTTGACTTCCCTTAATGCAGGATTCCTCTTCCCTCCTGTGTCACTATGCCCCATCAAATTACAGTCTTTCTCCTCCATACAACCCCCTAAAAAACATGTTCCCTTTTTCTTTATGTTGGTCCTACATCCCAGAAGAGCCCCCCTTATTTTGTGTGCTTAATCTGTACTCCTTCCTACTACCAGGAATTTTATTTTTTTAGTGGATTTGGATTTCCTTCTCCCTGCCTCCTCCAGAAAAAGCCCTGTTGACATTATCTTGTTCCCCTCTGCAGGGCCATATTTTTTCCCTTTCCAGCTCTGCACTGAGAGGGTGAAGCAGAGTGTTGTATCTGGCACATTTTGCCCTTTGCTCAACTCTACTGTAGAAGGATTCAGGGGCAGATGTGTCAGCAGCTTTCCCTGGGGAGCAGGGAGCAATATACAGTAAAAAGCAGTTGTAAGACCTAAGGAGGCCAGCATAAGGATGCAGTTCAGAAAATCCAACTGTCATCCATAAACTGTGAATAGACAGAGCTTTTGCAAGTTGTCACATATGCTCACACCTCACACATGGGCACATGTAGAGGGCCCATGGATGATGCACTGGACTGCCCGCACTGTGCTGAGTAGTTTGTGTCTGTTGCAAACAAGACGGCTCAAGCCCCCTTATCTTCTCCTGAATGGTGGATAATATTCTGTTGCTGCAGAGACTGTTGTCCCTGGTACTCCTAAATGTTTCCTAGTGTGTTTAAGCCAACTGCTTGTGAACTTTTTCTTGGCTCTCCATCTGTGTGTTAGAAACGTGTGTCAAACTGATGCTGGCTCTAATAAGCAATTTATATAATATCCTGGAGACCAACCATAAGATAAATAGAATCAGGTCACATATCCCAGCTGACACCTAGGAGAGATGAAAGTGTAAGCCACAGTACTAATAGCTTAGTTCAGATATTATCTGTTGTTTATTTTTTGTCTGCCCCTTTTTTCAGGAATGTATTATCTGATACAGTTATTTTAATACAATGAAGCTGCTATGTTTATTGATAGCCTTATAAAACAGAAGTTGGGACACAGTGTGGCAATAAACAGGATAATGTTATACTACGGGCAGGAAGGTAATGAGGCCAAGCAGCTTTCCTTGGAATATGGAAGGTGGTGCATTGGATGTAAAGAAACAGGGTTGAAATTTAGGACCGCTTTCACAATGATTTAATGTTTTCACCTTTTTGCAGATATCTGGCTATTCATTAGTTATCCAAGCAAGAGACAGTGGCACCCCTCCTTTGTCTTCATCTGTGACGGTCAATGTGGACATTTCTGATGTGAACGATAACAGCCCTGTATTTACTCCAGCTAACTACACAGCTGTAATTCAAGTAAGTTTATCCTGTACATCAAAAACTTCTCTGACTTTTAAAATGCAGGAGCATTTGGTTTCAGTTAAGTAGTTTTTGATGATCTATCTGCAAAAGATGTATCAAGGGATCTTATCTAAAAGAAAGGATAAACAAATTTTTTTTAAGTCTTTGGTAAGTTTCTGTTTTCTGAGGCTCCTTAACCACAGCATCTGACACACATTTTATTGTTCATCCCTGTTGCACCCTGTCCTCAAAATGTCTGCTCTGGAATAAGTTCACCTTTCTTTACACCTTGTTCTGGATGTGAGCCTTAACTGTTAGACAGACCTGATCAGACACAGTATCAGGCAGAGCTCAGCAGTCCGTGGAAGTGTGATGGGTACCTTAATTTCTGCTACTGGTCCGTGGGGCATAAGCAGGGTCAAATAAGTGCGGGTTGTGAAACACCATCTTGTCCAAAGAGCATTCAGTTGAATATTCTCAATAGCAAAATGTGGTATTTTATAATTGAGATATGTATCATTTTAATCCTTTTCTTTATACGCTGTGTATATGTGTAAAGGAAAATAAACCAGTGGGCACAAGCATTTTGCAGCTGGTAGTGACAGACAAAGACTCTTTTCACAATGGCCCCCCTTTTACCTTCACCATCCTCACTGGCAATGAAGAAGAGGAGTTTACACTGGACCCTCACGGCGTTTTAAGGTCTGCAGTCATCTTCAAGCACATGGTCTCAACTGAATATGTGCTCTGCGTGCAGGTATGTCTTGATTTTTACATCTGCACAGAAACAAAAAACCCCTCATAGTTGTAGGTAACCTGTACATTGCCTCTATGGGTTTTTTAATTGACCGTATTCTATGAGTAAATACCACACATTCCGGTTTACAAATTCACAATATGGTGTATTTCCTTTGATGTTCAAAAACCTGATTTCATATAAATATAAATAAGTAGCCAACCACCTTTCCAATTTCCTTGGCATGAAATGAATTTTCTGAGCAGCGACCGTTATGGTTTAAGATTTTCATCATTTTTTTTCTGTAGCTAAGCAAGGAAAATAAGCAAAAATGCATTATATACATATAAATATACCACAGAACAAGTGACAGCAAAATACTCTTCTAGGAAGGAAAATCACTTCTGCTTTTAAGTCATAAATTTAATCATAAATTTTTGGAAGCCTTCCAAGAATTCATGAAATCACATTTCCAAGGTCATCTTAGCCTTTAAAGAATGTAAAAATAAGACATTCAATAGAAGTCCAGCTCAAACTTAGCTGTAGAGTAATTGTTGAGAAGCTTTGTAACCAGGGTAATTTTGATTACCAAAACTAGTAAATCCAAAAGTAATTTGTCCACATTTCTCAGGCCTGACAGAGAAGATGTATTAGGGTAAATATGCAAGTCTAGGGAACGAACTACACCCTTTCATTGAAATGAGTCATGATCCTATAAGATGCTTTTGAAGTGCGTTCTTCCTCCACTTGCCTTGCTGGGGTTGATGTCTCTAAATACAGCCTATTTGCTCCTTTACAAGTACATTTAATGCTGTTCATAGCAATAACATCCTTAGTTACAATTGTTAGTTACGATTCAAAAAAATATAAGCTCTGGTGCTAATTAACCATTCAAATTCAAGTTTTGCAAGTTTGCCATTTAACGTATCTGAAACCTTTTTTTTAGCCTTGTAGCAATATAAAAAATCCTCACCTTTCTTTCTTACCATGCCTTCATCCTAAAATATCCTGCTTTCAGGGTAATTTGCTAGCCAAAGTTCTAGTATAGCCAAAACTGAGCACGAGAGTTAAATCTAAGCAGCATCCTCCAGCTTTAAAGATCCAAATATTTCATATAAATGAAATATTAGACAGACCACTGTGTCTGAGATGCACCAAAATGCTCAGAAAACCATTCTGTTGGATTTTGGAGGCATAATTTCTCCCAATATTATTTTCTTTAGGGATTTCTGCAGTGAAAACATATTTTATAGTTTCCTGTTGTGCATAGACCATAGAAATGCTTCTTTCCATTCATATGTGCCAGAGTACTGCTTTCTCCTTTCCACCATCAGGTTCCTTCTCTGTGTTAGGTTTTTTAAGAAGTAATGTTAAAATGGAAACTGGAAGGGGATGTAACCTCTGTGCACATATATGTGTATTTGCACACATATATATAAAATCTTATTTTAAATGCTCCACCAAGCTCTTTAAGGAGTGAAGATGAATGAATTTTAGGGTGTCTTAGAGTTATTAATCCATACATAGTAACGCCCATACTGTTGTCATCCTGTCATTTTTTTTCTTCAACTTGTAAATTTTCCTTCTCGTGTCCAAATATGAAGATCTTTGGACATGTGCTACATCTCTGCCCAGTGGTAGTTCAGCCTTCTGTTCTTCTCTGGAGCAAGTAAATGTGTGGAGCAGTATATCTGAATAGTGACTTCAATGAAACATTTTTCTTAGTGTAGGAAAGGGCACTGATTCAGGTTTGCACACCTTTCTGTCAAAACGGCCTTGGGGTTTTTGTCATACTTGCTCTTTTGCTCTCTATAAAAAAAAAAGGTGCAAATGATGCTATTATATGTGCTCTGGGTCATACAGTCATCTGTCCAAGTGCAGTGCTGCTCTCATATTTTATCGTTAGCAACAGCACAAGCACCTATTTCATTTTTGGAGGATGATAAATTTTATTTATGTCAAGCATGTTTCTTGATTGCTTCAGGTAAAGTAGTACAGAGTGCTGTAGAAAAATTCTGAACTCTCTCACATCCACACTAGCTAAGCAGGGTCTGAAATGCTTTGGAGCACACCAAGCAATGTAGAAAGCTGGTATTTCACTGGACTTCAGTCCCTTCCCGGGATAGAAGTGAGTCCAGACTCCATTTGGTGCAGAATAACACATTGTTGGTATATTCTCCATTGTAAAGATGACAAGTGATAGCTGTGGGATCCTGGGAACGTTGCAGTTTGAGTAATGAGACAATCTACTGACACATTTCTCTATGCAATCCATTTAGAGATCTCTGCTTCCCTAAAGAGTTTCTAAGTTCCACTGCTAGAAATGGCTGAGATATTTCTTTGCATATGTATTTTGCAAATACATTTGGGAAGTTCTTCTGGGAGGTCTTCAGAATTACTGATGATGCGAAAATATACATAGCAAGAAGTTGTGGTTGTAGGCTGTGTTCTATGTGTGTTTTATTTCTGGATTTATTTTTTTATTTTATTTTTTCTAAATTAAATTAGGCAAAGGACTCTGGGAAGCCCCAGCAGGTTTCCCACACCTACGTTCAGGTGAGGGTTATTGAAGAAAGCATTCACAAACCAACTGCCATTCCACTGGAGATTTTCATTGTCACCATGGAAGATGATTTTCCTGGGGGAGTCATTGGGAAAATCCATGCCACAGATCAGGATGTGTATGATGTCCTCACATACACACTAAAATCAGAGCAGAAAAGTTTGTTCAAGGTCAACAGCCATGATGGGAAGATCATTGCCCTCGGAGGGCTCGATAACGGCAAGTATATCCTAAATGTCTCTGTCAGCGATGGCCGTTTCCAGGTACCCATCGATGTTGTGGTCCATGTGGAGCAATTGCTACAAGAAATGCTGCAGAACACAGTCACCATTCGTTTCGAGAACGTTTCCCCGGAAGACTTCGTGGGCCTTCACATGCATGGGTTCAGGCGTACCTTGCGAAACGCGGTGCTCTCCCAAAAACAAGACAGCCTACACATCATCAGCATTCAGCCAGTGGCAGGCAGCAATCAGCTTGACATGCTGTTTGCAGTTCAGATACACAGTGGTGGTTTCTATAAGCCTGCCTATTTGATTCAGAAGCTTACCAATGCGAGGAGACACTTGGAAAATGTGATTCGTATTTCTGCTATCTTGGAGAAGAATTGCTCTGGACTGGATTGTCACGAACAACACTGTGAGCAAAGTCTGTCCATTGATTCACATTCCCTGATGACCTATAGCACGGCACGAATTAGTTTTGTGTGTCCCCGCTTTTACAGGAATGTGCGCTGCATGTGCAATGGTGAGTACTGCTCCCTCTTCCCCTCCCATCTTTGCATATTATGTGATAGGATCCATTTTATTCCTCTGACACAGATTAGAAGGGGCATTTCAATTCAGTCCGCTAAAGCATGACTGGCTGATGCGTTGTGGGAATTGATTTCTCAGGCTCAGGAAGAATTGTTCGTGTTTACTGATGTAAATGGAAGTTTATGAACTTTGGCCTTTTACGACAAAGACTGCTTTCCTGGAGGCTCCGTAATCAGAGCCATCAACCAGCTTCCAGGGGAGGGGAAGGAATGGGAGAGGGAGAGGAGAGCAAGGCATGTGTTCTCCCACTCAGTTGGTGCCACCACTGGAATAAACCTGGAGTCTGACCATAGCAGAGCAGTCTGGTCCGCAGCGATGCACCAGCAGTCTCCAAGGAAAAGCACCCCTGACCTAAGGCAGGCAGGTGGAAAGGCTATTTTCAGTCCTGTTTTTGCAGGGAGGCATGATAACCAGTGAAGTATTTTATTAGCAATTCCTGACCTTTAATGCTGCAACAGGGGACAGGGTGAGTTTTAGGCTACTCCACTTTCGGCAGAGATTTCATGGGCATATGACAAATAGACTCAAGAGCCAGTCTTCCGTATGATTCTGCACTTGGATTTTAAAACCTTAGGCAGTTATAATACTAGCTCTGTTTCTTTTGTTTGCCAGGCCATTTGCTCCTCATTCCACTTCATTTAAGAGCAGAAAAAAAAAGCTGCTGTAAAATCAATACATCTTAAGTTTCCCTCATCTTAAGCACACATGCACATACACACCGAGCAGGACAAGAATTCAGCAGCCATGTCTCTCAATAACCAACCTCTGTTTCTGCAGCAGTCGGCAGAGCTTCATGTTTTACCGCTGACCTCAGTGGGGATGAAAATAGGCATAAATTGCATAAAACTTAACCAGAAATCATTTTTTCCTGCGGCACATGAATAATAATGCCATAGAGGTTCAATTCTGTAAAAAATACTATACCTTTATATCTGAGGTACGTTCAAGAGTAGACTATCTGGTCAATTTTTAAGTAATAGTGGTTTAGGTTTCAAATAGACATGTCTGTTACAAAAATAGTCAGCATTTTGTTACACATGAAAGTCTCTGAAATAAGAATTTTCACAGGTTTAAAAGGGACAATGCTGCAATATCCTCCAGGCAAGTCCAGGAACCAGTGCTGAAACACTGTCTGCAAAATATTTTTATATTCTCTAAATCATAACTTAGTATCATTTTTTTATCAAGAAATTACAAATCCTCATCTCCTTGGGGATAGTGATAGTCTTCACTGTCAGAAACTTGTTTTCTGGCAGCCAAAATTTTCACTGTTTATAATTTCATTTCACTACTTACTAAAGTAATACATCAGTAATGATGTATTATTCCTTCTGTCTAGTAATCCCTTAGCTTAACTCCAAAAAAGGGACTTTACCGTGCAGTACAGTTTTGATCCAGGCACTCTCTGCTTTTCTTCCTGCACAGCAGGTTTACAATGGAAGCACAGAAATTCAGCTGGGACAGCAATTTCCAGATTTTTCTGTCATGTACCAGTCAATCCTCAAAATGGATGGCAGGCTGCTGGAAAAGCAGTGTGGTTGTGCAACCGTCTGTGGTCCCCAGCCTCTGGACCATTTATCATGGCCTTAAAGACTGCTGTATGGAACAGTTGGAACAGGCAGCTTATCTTGGTCCAGCTGAAAAGCTGGATGGGGTTCCCACTGCTCCCATTCAAGCCACTATGTGCTGTTTTCCCATGGGTGATCCACAGGATTTGGGGTGAGGTTGTGCCTTTCCAGCCTATCATCCAGCCTATAGTAAAAAAAATGTCCAAAGGTACCAATTTAGGTATAGCTGCCAAAGAGGTGAAAACCTTGGTGCATATTATTTGCACAGAGATAAGAGACCTTGGTCGGAAGTAAAAATTCATGCTTTGCCCTTCTCCTCATCATGTAGTGCTTCAGCCTCCTCTTTTTTAATTATAGGAGCCACAGAAAATACCTTGGTATTTAGGTAAATACACAGACACACACTGTATTTTCTCACATAGGAGGTTAACACACACTCTTGAGGGTATATTAGTTAGAGAATGTATGGGTAGTTTTGCTTTCAAAAGTCTAAAGATTAGAATAAAAGTTGAGAAAAATGCAAATGCTTCTTCGATCAGTGGTTCTTATACATGCACATAAATGCAGCAAGTCAGAAAAAAGTGCAAAATTTATTTTGGCTTGTTTAACAAGACAGCATTAGCAAGATATTATCAGTATAATAGAAGTATTATACTTCCTTTGTTACTAAGATAGTTTCACATCCAGTAAATATTAATAGCTTGAATTATGACAAAGCCATTAAAATACTGCATATGTTTCCAGTGATCTGATTCAATTATGACCCAGAAAGCTTGAGTTTGAACTAATTCACTCATTCCTGAAATATATATCATACTTGGAGTGTTTTTCCCACTGGCAGATGTCACAGATATGCACAATTTATGCATGCCAGCTGTGCATAACTTACCTAGATTACCTTTGTGAGCAAACAGTTATCTAATGTGAAAATGCAGGGAGACTGTAAAGCAGGCAGTGGGTGAACTTTGGAGGTTCAGCAGCTCAGCTCTGGAAGGATAAGTTCGAAAGTTCATGTGCATCAATCTTTGCTTTCAAAATCAATAAAATTGAACTAAAGAGTTTTTCAATAACAGGCTGTCTCCTTAGATTTCTGCCGCATCTGTTTGTTTTTGTGTGAAAAATATTGTCACAAAGTGGGATTTGTTTTGGTGTGACCATAGGGCTATGCTTACCAATTTCCCATCACATGGTGTGAGATATGTAAACAATTGTCAGTGCTGGGGAAAATAAAGATAGGAGAAACGGAATAAATATATTTACATAAAATAGTTTGCATGGCATTCTCATTTTTCCAAAGCAAAAATCTATTCCTTTTTTTTTTTCATGAGGTAATTATTTTGTGTTAAGATAAAGATGCAGAGGAGAAGCAGGTTTTATTGAGACTACTTTGCTATAGAGTTCTACATTATAATCTGACAAAAATGAGGTTACATTATTATTTTTATAGGAGAAGACTGGATTGAAATAATCTTGACAAATGTGGATATATATCTACATCCATGCTGGTCACTCCAGGCCCCATTTGCAGACACTGGAAAGAATGAGGTGTTTTTAATGATGTGATACATCTCTTCCTAGATGTCTAAAATCAGTCAGATGAATCATGCCCTAAAGTTAGATGAGATGAATTCCATTTCAAATGTTTAATATGGTTCTGGCCTAATAGTTTGAAAGAATTTTTCTAATAGACGCAGAAGTGTTCAACAAAAGTGCAGACACTTACATCCATGTTATTTAATCAAGAGAGTAGCAGTCTTGGACCACTTTCTCATGAAACAGCATAATTCCGACTTTATGAAGCCCCTTCTAGCATTTTGTGAATGCTCTGACAAAAGAAAATCATAGGCTGTGAGGATCTGCTATTAATATAGGACCTATTTTTCAGAGATGCTTTTTGTCCTCAGCTGCACAGAGGACACATTGCATCTTAAAGAGTACTGGGTGCTCTGAAGGACTGGGCATCAAAAACCCAATTCTTATGTGTACAACACTGCTTTTCCCATTTTTAGGAAGCACACACCTGTGTACTAATGAGCCTGGAATCTCCTGGCAAGGAAGACTGAAGAAGGTGTCCTGTCTGTGCTTAGGAACCAAGAACTGCAGATAACTTTGATGGATTTGATCTGACCATAGTCCTTTTAATGTTGCACTTGAGTAAGGAGAGATGTTTCTCCCTGTGAATATCTCTGATATTTAGTCCCATGCTGACAATGCACAGTCTCGTATAAAATGTGGAAGAGTTGAAGTGTGAAGTGGGGACATGATTGTAGAATCAGGGCAAGTGGGAATTGGTATCTATCACTTAAGGAGTCCTAAGGGAAGCTGTGAATCAAGGACTGGATGGAAAAGGTCAAATGCCTTGTTATTCTAAAACTTGGAGACATTCTATTTTACTAGGACATATAGTGTGACACAAAGTTTTCCAGGGGCACCTGAGCTAGATGAACCCCATTGCTGGCTTGTGCAGAAACAATTTTGCGGTGTCTGTGCTGACATGTATACAATTATCGTTACCTATAACACCTGGTCACCATGACCTAAAAATAAAAGCAGATTGCAGATCATGAGTTCCCTCCCTACCAAAGTAATTATTACTTCAAGTAGCAGTTTGAAGTTTGTTTTGTAAACTTCCTGCAACTCTGGCTGTCAATGGTCTCCCTCTTTTCACGCTTTTTTCTGCAAGTGAGAGAAACAGACTCTTTTAATACTCCTACAGACTCAGAAGAATGGGCTGATAGAAAAATACAAAATATCACAAGGCATAACTTAAAATGATTGAAGCACTCAATTTTCAAAATATATTTACAGTCCTATTTGTTCTCCCTTTTTTGAAGGAATAGGAATTAAATACATGTCTCATTTTGCAATGGAAGAGTGTTTTCTTCCTCAGTATATTGGTTAGAAGATTGAAATGCTTTTATCTTCTTTTAGAGAATTAAACTGAAGATGATCTGTCAAAATCAAGTGGGTCTATTCCACCTTCTCCTGCCACGCACTGGTTGATGCCAGCTCATGTGTTTCTGTGATACCTTGTAGAGAACAGTTTTATTAATAGTAATGTGAGTTTCAAGAGAATGCTGTGGATTGTCTGGACTTACCTAGAAGAAAAAAGATCAGTTCAAATCTATGTTTCTTGAATCTGTTACTGGGTGGTAAATAGACTGCACTTTGGAGTGGAAATGCAACATTAGAATAATTTTATTTAAACTCAGGCTGTAAATCTTTGATGTGGACAACGTAACCTTGAACAATTTTACAATTTTGCTCCACATAGTTGTGAAATCAGCCTGAAAATGCGTCTTAGCTGGGGCAATGCAATAATGCAGATTTGTAGCTTATGTACTTATAACCATACAGACAGGCACAAAGCACTTCTCCCAAGCCTGAATATTTTAAAAATTTTGTGACAGCTATGAAATCATGCTGCAGCAGTATGAATAAAAATTTGATTTTCTTGTAGTTTACCAGAAGAACTATTCTTGGCCGTTCAGGATAAGCAGTTCTTTAGTTCATCTCCACAGTTGCACTAAGTACATTAGATCTTTTCTATCTATTTTTGAATGTGGAAGGATGATTCTGAAGTACAAATCAGAGTCTGAATCAGCTAAAAAACCTGGCAGAGATGGATAACAAAGTAAGCTGTTGCTTTATTGCTTCATGTCAAAGATAAAGTCATAGGTTAGAGGATGTGAAAATTTGCAGAGCCACATTGGGAAATCTCAGTGCCCCTTTCTGGTGCACACTGATGAGTTGTGGGGCTTTTGTCCAAATGGCTTGTCTGTCAGCTACACAGAGGCTTACTTGAATTACAGCGTCACAAAAGGTTGAAGTTTTTTCAGAGAAGGGATATACTCTGTGTACACCAGAATGCTGTGTATTCATCACATGAGTTAAAATAGCTGAAACAACCAAGGAGAAAATACAAGGTGGCCTATAGAATATTTAACAGCCTGCTATAATTTCAGAAATAATTGTTACTTTCCATTGAATTCCAAGAAATGGGGGGGGAGTTATTCTAAGAAAACAAACAAACCCACATAAAAACCATCATATTTTCTGTTAAATTCTGCAGACCGTACTTTTAAATAGAATATAGTTCTGTGATGCAGAACCCTATTAAATATTAAATGACAATTGTTTCTTGATTCTATTAAGACTTAAATTGTAACTGTATATTGCAGCTGTTACTCCTGTTAACACTGCCTACTAATGTGATTAATAAAGAATGCCATGCATCATTTTCTAACAGTGCTAAAGGCAGTACTGTAAATCGTTTACTGCGTAGACCTCTCAAACAAATGTTTGATAAAGGAGGGGAGGATGTTAAACATTAAATTGACTGTGCTGTACATCAAGGAAGACATTTACAGTAATTGCCATATTTGTAGTCAGCCCATGTCCATTTCGAAACCTACAGTAGTAATTTTTCTTTTCCCAGAAAATACTTACAGTGTCAGGTAATTTCAGCTGTGCTTACTGTGAGCCCTGCTTGGCTTGTACAAAACTCTCAGAGCAATAAGAGTCTTTCTTTCATTATTTTTGGAGATGTACTCTATGACAGGTTGATTTCTTCCTTTATAAATTGTAAATCAAATAATATGCCCAAAAAATAAACTAGTTTTTTAATATGATAAGGATCCTGCAATATATGAGGACTGCCAATATTCAGAAAGTGATGGGTAGGAAGGTGTGTTTTATCATTAAATTCATCACCTGCATGTCTTAAGTAAATTAAATTAATAAGCAAAACAAGAGGAGTCTGTCCATTCCCAATTCCATAGCAGCCACACCAAGAACCTTACTACAACCAAGAAAAGGTTAGTTGTTATGGAAGTCATATATTCCTGAAGATCCATATATTAAGCAGCAGCAGGTGTATTGTATTTTGCATTATTGTAGACAGTGTTTGCAAATCTTTTAAGATTAGAGCAATTAAAACAAATTTATTTAGACACTTTTAGAAGTTAAGGACAAGTTTTAGCCAAACCCTACGAAATGCAAGAAGTTCCTTTGACACTGATAGGCTTCAAAGTAATTCCTTGACATACTCAGCTTGATAGATGTAAAAAATTTAGATGGTTTTGAAGAACCTTCATGTAATTGTGTCGCTCAAGGATTTTAAACCATTTAAAAATTCAGCATTGTTCTGTCCCTTCAGATTGGAAAAAACTGAGGTTTTGGAAGCCTGGGCAAGATGGATAGGATGTGAGATCTCAGAAATGTCAGGAGGAACGTAGGAAGAGGCCAAATTTGCCTATGCTGTGTGACTGAGCTTGCAGCATGTCCTGTGTAGTGTGAGGATGAAAAGTACAGCTGTCACGCTGTTGCCCCAGCATGGCTTAGAATCACAGAATATCCTGAGTTGGAAGGGACCGACAAGGATCATGAAAGTCCACCTCCTGGCCCTGCACAGGACCACACAAAGAGTCACACCTGAGAACATTTTCCAAATGCTCATTGAACTATATCAGGCTTGGTGCTGTGACTATTTCTACCTCCTTCAATTTGCTTCTCATAGGTGTACTGGGACAAAAGGAGTGCATAGCTTCAAGTCATTTTTTTTTCCTCGTATGTCTAGAAAGCCCTTGCACATGAAGGTTTGTGAGAAAATGGATGGCCTGAGAGGTATAACACCAATTACAAACCAGTTACTGTGTATAAGAGTTCGTTTTTATAATATGTTCCCATGGTGTTTAGGGCATCTTGAAAAAGAACTATTGTAGTTTTGCTACATACTTCTACAAAAACGCTTATCTCTACCATGAAGGTTTGTTGTTATTATTATTAAGCTCTTTTTTGCTTATACTGAAGTGTGAGATCAATAATTGTCTTTCTTTACTCCTGTATTGCAGCAGATCATGCTTTACACTGTGTATCCCTGACAGTATTTTAACTTATTGCAGGAGGACTCTGTCCAGGGTCCAACGACCCCTGTCTGGAGAAACCGTGTCCAGGGGACATGCAGTGTGTGGGATATGAAGCTAATCGGAGACCGTTCATCTGCCAGTGCCCACCAGGAAAGCTGGGAGAATGTTCAGGTGCATGTCATAGGGGGATATACTTGAACAATAAAGTGCTGCCATTCTCATTTTGTAGGTAGAGATGCCACTGAAGTCAACAGAAAATGTACTGCTTAAACCATCTCAGCACTGGCATTTGGTGTGCCTGTTTATAAGCCCTGTAAATACTTGTTTTTGTAGCTATGGGTCTGTATATAGACAGAAATTCCCACTGACTTGCTTAAGGATGAGATCAGTAAAACAGGCTGCTGAGAAAACAGGATTTCTTCTAGAGAATGTTATACCAGATGTTTTCCTGCCATGGGCAAAGCTCTATAATTAACTCTTCTACTTACTATTTAGATTACCAAAATTCCAGTCTTTATTAATGAAAACACTACACTGTCCCAAAATGAAAGTTTGAGGACATTTGTTAGTTCTCTGCAGCTGTGTTGTTCCCTGGGATATAAAGAGCCAGGTGGAAAGTCAGTGAAGTGGAGCTCTCTGGTGACTTCAGTGAATTCCAGGCTGCATGACAGAGGATTTGTGCTATTTGCCTGATGAAAACACAGCAGATACTGAACTGTGGTCCTGAACAGTGGTTTCAGGGAACTCATTGCAAGGGTTTGGCTGACATCTGCCCACACCTAACTTTACACCTGTAACTCCACTGCCTGATGTATAGGTATGGGCATCTTTGACTCTCTCTGTTTTCAGAGAGGCAAGATAGGTGCCTCCAGAGGTGTATAAGCTGAAAAATGCTGAATACTTGAAAAAAACTCCTTTTTTTTTTTTTTTTTTTAAGTATGGAAAAATAGAGCTTTCTTCTATCCCCTAAAAAATAAATAATTTTAAAAAAATAAATACAACAGATTTTGTAGTAGATGCTAGTTTTTTTCTCATAGAAAATGGGTTTATTTCTTCCTAGACATTCTCATTAACTTTATTAATTCTTTAATTAACTTGACAGTTGAGGAATTATTTCAGGTGTCACTAAAAGCACATATGTCTTTTCAAAATGATTATTTCAGGCCACACTTCCCTTAGCTTTGCTGGGAATAGCTACATTAAATACCGGGTGTCTGAAAATAGCAAGAAAGAGGAATTCAAGTTGGCTCTCCGTCTGCGAACCCTGCAAAGCAATGGGATTATTATGTATACCAGAGCGAATCCCTGTATAATTCTGAAGGTAATTAAAATAACTTATCTTTTCTGCAGTTGTTTTTCTAGATTCTGTATTTTCTGTTGGCTCTTGATTTGGGTAATACTGTTCTCATTTCAGCTGTAGATTGAGAAGAAGAAGTCTGTTTCTAACAGGGAAAAACAATTTCAACAACAGCAGCAACAACAACAATAAGAAAAGCAGCTTGTTAGTGGTACTTTACTTGGAAAATTCCCCACTGAGTGTTGTTCATTACAACAACATTATATGTGTCTGCATGTAGAAACCAGTCTGTACGAGATGTGAAATTTGGCCATTTATATGACTGTATAGTCAAAACAAAGCATACTGAATTTGCTGGTTTTCCCTTCTGTCCATGTCTGTGGACATGCTCTCACTGTTATCAAGCCAAAGCCAGAAACCAGCTGCTTAAAATATGTCTCCTACTGAATATGAAAATCTCTGCTCTCTGTGGATTGAGATTATTTGTTGAGAGAGTCATGGGGTCACTGGAAATTGCTAACAAATCAATATTTAATTGATAAGCTCTCCATGCATATTTTTTTCCTTTTTTGTGTTTCTGTGAAATGGCAAATATGTGCTGGATGGAAAGGGAGTACTAGGCTCATCCAAGACCCTGCCTGTATAATATTTCTGCTGTAGCCTCTAAGGTACAAAATGAAGACATTGGCATTTGTAACTACACCATGCTCTATAATTCAGCAGTGGGAGAAATGGCACAGAGCCTTTTGTGCCTGTGTTTGCAATCTTCAGAGTACTGTTGGCTGAATGCTTAGGTAATGTTAAAGTGACTAGATGAGTTATTAATGGACAACAAATAACTTTATAGCTGTTAGACTGAAATATTTCATGAGCAGGAGTACTGCCTGTCGTTGACCGGGAACTGTCAACATTGTTCAGATTTGTACAAGATAATTAAGCTCTGGTTTGAGACACATGGAAATGCAGTTTGAATTGTCAAGTATATGGTTTTGTCCAAAGAAAATCAAATGAAACTGCAGATTGGAAGACCTTCTTCGAACTCTTCATTATGGTCACTCTTAGAATATGTCAGTAAGTAATGTTTGCAATTCTTTAATTTCAAAAAATATTTGAAAAAAAAGCCCTAATGGCCCTGGTGGAAGGTGCCACTTGAAAACAATGGGAGACGATACAGAGATGACTGAAATTAAGTTAGAATGGTAACGGGAGCATTAATTTTGTTAGACTTTGGTGTATAAAGCTCACATCATTAAGGAGTAAAGCATGTCCAGCTCATAGGCAACTGAGTGAAAATCTCCAGTTGAAGCTGAGAAATTTTGCCACCAAAAAAAGAAAAGTTGATCTTGGGAAATTTTGCCACCAAAAGAGAAAAGTTGATGTTTCTAAAATAAAAACACCACCCCCTCATTGCAATGGCCTGAGTTGAATCTTAGTTGTGAGGAACTGTGTGTTTTCAGTCACCGCACAATCACCTAATTATTTTGATTTGAAAGATGCTGAGAGTTAAAAATATTACTTCAAGGAGCAGCAACAAGAGCTGTGGCTATTCTGCTCCAATCTCAAAGGCCAACCTCCATGTCAAACTCTGTTTTGCTTCCTAGCTCTAAGAAACTATTTCCAGCTTTAAAGTCATCTCATGCAGTACTTGGTAGAGAGCTTCAGGTGCTGCTGCCACCTCATGTATCCGATGAGTGAAGTCCAGGATTGTGTATAGATGCAAAGCCTCTGCTTTCTCCTATGCACTGAGCAGGGAAGGACACAGGGAATTACCTTCTCAGAGCCTCGTGGTCAGCTTTAGGTAGGGCACGATTCACAGTTGCAATGTGTACATTTTTTCCAGGTCTGATCCTTGGCTTCTGTGTGTTTAAGGAGAACTAAATTTTTACATTCAGCATAGTTTTTAAAGAAATTGCACCTCTTAAAAGATCAAGAATTGTCAGAGTTTTGTTTGTAAAGGTCTTTTAGTGGAGGAATATCAGGCTGAGGTCTCACAAAAGTGCTCTGTGGCAGGCAAATGGCATCATGCTCAAGGGATTTAACCTTATCAGGTCTCTTCAGGATAGCAACTGACTCTTGAACTGCATTTTGGGGATCCTTAACTCAGATGTTGTCAAGTAAGTTATGCTTAGGCTTTCTAAACATATGTTTTTTTCATTTGTAAACTAGAGGTAAGAATACTTTTTTCTTTCTTTCACCAGGTACTTACGTTGTGAGATAGGGAGGCATTCAGAAATGAGGCCATTAAGTAGATTAATTACAGGTCTATAAATGTGAAGTTGTTATCATTTGAGCATTGCTTTCAATTAAATTAAACATAAGGAGAAGCTTTCCAAATAGAGGATAAAGGATGGAATCCTGTGCTCTTTTGAGCACTCTGGCATCACTCCAGCAAAGCACTTAATCATTTGCTTAACTTCCTATATTTGAAGGCAATTGGAACTACTCACATACCTTAATTTTAAGCATGTACTTAAGTACCTGCTGGATTAGCACCAGAGGGCCCAACACCATCACTGAGCTCCAAACAAAGGCAGAGGTAGAGGAAATTTAGACCATGAGCCCATGGGAGGGCAGGCAGAAAACACCACTGCTGTTGGGGCATACAGTGGCACTGATTGTTTTGAAGGAAGTCTCTCCCATTGCAGTCTATTTAAAAATTAATGCTGCAATATGGTTTTTGGTGTTTAAATGACCAGCTTAATTCTGGGAGCTCATACATTTATGATAACTCCAGGGATGGAAATATTTCATAAACATAACACAGTGTCCTTCTTGGATGAATAATCAATTCCACAGAGCAAACTGCTTGTCTACTACTTTGCTGAAAGCCTACCAGCTACACTGCATTGATACAATATAATAAGGGTGTTATTTATTCAGCTGTTTCAAATAGAGCAACTCATCAATCGATTTTGAGAGGTTGACCATTTTTTTTGTTGCATGCTCTTGCTTTTAAGACAATTGGAGCAAAATGAGATGCAGGTCAATGGCCTTTTTTTCTCCTTTGAAAAGATTGCATGTGCTAAAACCAGTACCACCATTTCCTTTTTACCTATGTAGCATCTAACTGGGAAAAGTAAGGTTTAACCGTTTAAAGCATTACAAGACCATTGCAGAAGAGAATTCTGTAATTTATCTAATTTTTTTCAAGGAATATCATGGATATTCAACTTTTTTGTGACATTTAAAAGATTGAAAACAAGTAAAGAAAGACTTTCCCATCATGCCAGAAATATAGCTGTTAAATGGTAAAAGGCAAGCATATGTTCTTCTGTCCAGGCAGTTAATGTGAAACTTTTTGCATCATTTAGTTAAGTATATATTTTACAGTTTAGCACATTACTGTTGCCTGGCTTATGCTGCCGAGGACTGAAGCTTGGATATGGTCCCAGTTATGGCTGGAGTTGAAACGAGTAATATTTTAATTAAATACACTGTTTTACACAAACGAACCTGAAATGCAATTCAGCTAACGAAGTATTTCCCCAGATAGATTAGGAGGCAGCGTGCTGTATCCATGGTGTTTGAGTGCAGATGGACTGTGTGAGCTGGAGGTGGTCTCAGAAGAACCATTTGATCATTTTATTACCTGTGTTGATACACAAATATGGATGTTAGCCAAACATCTTAGCCAGGCTAATATTCTAATATGATTTACAATATGTGTCTGGCTCCATTTTGCTCATTGAATGAAACTGTTAAAATATAATGGATTGCATCAGCTCTCAGATCTTCTCTGTTCTTTTTACTTCTTTACAGGTGAGGAATTTCGTGGCTGTAAAAGTATATATGCTTAAGTATGCATTAACCTCCCTGTCCTGGTTGTTATAACTGAGACTGTAACTAAGCCCTGAGCTTAAAAAGCACTGAGAAGTGGAAGCTTGGTGGGAATTTTCTGCTCAGCTAGAATGAAGCAGTGTCTCTGCTTTCATGGTGCAGAGGGTCTCTGCTGGTGCCATGGGCTGCACTGGTGAGGGTTTGCAAATCTCTGATGTGAGATGGAGTAACTCAAGCTCTCTGCTGTATTGCACTACATAAATGGAGGGGAAAAAGCAGTGCCACATGTTCAGTCCTACACGGATAGTCTGATGCTGCCAGCTCTCAACTAGACTAGCCATCCCACTGATGTTATTATCTGGATAACTGCTGTGGCTGGACATTCATTGGATTGCCATACTATTTGCTTGGACTGAGCAGTGACCCCAACATCACAGCAGTTACAAAGAATCATGGGAACACAATGGACTAATTGCTGAATGGTGGTTGAATTCTGTGCTTAGGAGTAAAGGCAGCAATTTTACCTGCCTGGCCAGCCTCCCTGCTAAATAGTCAGGACAGGAGCCCTTTGCAGCATCTGCTCCTTACCAGCTCTTCTTGTTCTTCCTCCTCCTCCTCGAGGCACCAGGCCATCAGGGGACTAGTATTTCCTCCCGATCCCCCTAGAGCAAGACCTGTGGCCATTTGATTAATGAAAGTATTTTTATTGTCCCATTGCTAGATGTATCTGGGCATGTCACAGTCTTTAATGTATGTATCTGTAAAGCAGTGGTGTGAGATAGGGAAATGACGTTACCCCTCTTTTACTGATGGAGACCTGAAACTAATGACTTGCTTGAGATCCCAGAGGAAGAGTGTTGTAGAGTGTGGATTCCCATGCAAATCTATCATGTCTTACACTAGTACTGTAAGACTCAGACCATCCTTTCCATCTTTCACTCTAGCCTGAGGTAGGGGTTACTAGTGTTTCTTCAAAGAGAGGAAGGAAACTTAACCTTTCAGACAATATATATTTACTGTGTATGTCAGATCATCTACTGGTAAAAAGACCTAAAAGTGCATGAGAAAGATGTATAAAACATATTTTAATGGCAAATCTTTTAGATCATCATTTCCTGTGTACAAATGGTTTAATATTTATTCCAGGTGCTCATATGTGGTGGTGTATTTATAAAGATAATTAGAAAAACATGTTCTGTGAGTAAGGTTAATAGACATGCAGGCAGTAGGTTCTTCAGGGCATAAGTAGTCTTAGGGGAGGTATATGTATATTATACACAATCAGTAGAAGAGTTTCCGTAGGAAAAAGCCTTTTGAATAAGCAGCAAGTTGGCTGCTTATCTAGTGATGTCTGTTTTTCAAACTGTAATATATTGGCATGTATTTTTCTGTTTGATTTGTATTCCTTTTGAGCCAGGTCTTTCTGAGCAGCACCTTCAAAGGTTTATGGACTATTTTGTTGCACAGGGAGAAAAGAAACTATTGCTCTCTCTCTGGAAAGAAAAATTTCAGTTTATCAGGGCATCTTGTTTACGAAGATTCCTCTGGAGAATTCTTTAACAGGCACAATTTCAATCTACAGAAATGGTTTACAGCTGAGTTTTGAGTCCCATAAGAAAAGACTTTTTAATGAAAAGTGATCCAGACTCATTTTTCTATACATCCATTAGCCATTTTAGATTGAGCTGTAGGAATAGTGTGCAACATCCATCCCGTAAGCAGGTTGTGTTACAATCATAGATCTGACTTCTCAGTTGCATCCTACAGGTCAGGGACTTAGAAATAGCCAGCTGCTCATAGCAGGGGCTAATTCTAGCTCCTTCCCTCATACCATGCTGAGTAAGTAGGTAGCTGCCATTGATAGGGAGCTTACCACATGCTTGCCACTGCTTAGCACCTCTGTGTCCAAGTGACTGCCAAGCAGTGGAGTGATATGGTTTATATCCCAATTACCCAGCATGTCTTGGCTTGGGGTTCAGTTCAAATTCAGCTGGTCAAGAGACTGAGGGTTTGGGAAAGAGAGGGAGTCCAGAGATGTACAGATCTCAAGATTTTACTCTTAGCTTTTCTCCAGGTAGTTTTGTCAAGGACATGAAACGCCAATGACATAACAGCACAGTCTGCTTCTTTAGATTAACAGTTTCACATTTACATTCAAGCCACATCAGAGAGCCTGGCAGAGAGGTGTGTGGTCCCACAGTTGAGACACATGCCAAGGAATGTCTCTAGCTAACATGGTTTAAAATGCTAGAAATGGCCAAAAATGGCCAAAGGCAGATGGACACAATGCAGCATCCTCACATCTGCAGTAGCCATGGTGGTTAAGCAGGCCACCAAAGCTCTGTGGGGGTTCTTGCATTGACAGCTATGGCAACTGTGCTTTGATGGCAGGGAACAGTCAGGCTCTGTTACAGACACACCAGTGAGAGGACAGTGTGTGATGCAAGGAAGGATGAAAAAGGACACAGCACCTGAACTTTGCAGGACGATAAATAATGGGACAGAATTGTCTTGAGATGGAGTTTGCAGAAATAAATACTTCCTAAAGCATGACATAAAGGTAAATTACTTGCAAGAGCTTTCAGAGAGCTCAAATCCAATTAAGGTGTCATAAGAAATTATTTCCAGCCTTGTCAGCCATTTTAAACTGATCTACCATCTGTTAGAGAAAGCTAAAATCTTTGGGTAAACTGCTAATCAGAAAAGCAGCACTTCATACCTATTCCCTTACTCTGCACTTCACCTGCCCCAGCAGGCTAGTACATATTTTCCCTTTATGAGGACTTCAGATGGGTGAGGGACAGGAGGGAGAGTGAGAAATCCTCTACCATCTCTCTAAAGCCATGAACCAGCACAAATATGAGGAAAGAAAAAAAAAGTAAGAAGCATTTTATGTCATCCGTGAGGTATACACAGGACAGGTAGTGTAGCATCTTTGGAAAATAACTGATTTTTGGTCACCCAGTATCTTACTGTTGTAATTAGGGAAACTGAACTTAACGACACTTGGGGACAAATCCACACCCTGTTGAGATGCTCCAAAAGGTTACAGAAGCACAGGATGTGTACGTGAGCAGAGTACCTAACATCACTAGCTGAAAGAAGTGGCCACTGACTTTGCCACAAGCGTCTTTCAAACACTGAGAAATGATCCTGTGCCCTGGCTGTCTTTTTGGTAGCATCAAGCACTGGGAGCAGAATCACAGCTCATGGATGAGTGATGGCTGAGAGAGGCACAGCTGTTCAGCAGCAGAGCCAAGAGTAGAACATAGGTCCCCTAGTCCATACCTGTTCAGTAAACTTATCGTTATCCCAGTTTTTGCCAGTGTTCTGCATCTATATTTTTTCCTACATTTATATTTTCTTGCAGTAATTGCCTTTGGATAAATTCAAAGTAAGCTGATATTTATCACATATTTTTTTGCTGCTGATAAAGGCACAGCTTTTTGCTATTTTAGTGTCATGTGGGAGAGCATCTTTAACACTGTATAGAGACTGTCTAGAAGTCCTCTGTGTTTCTAGATTCTCTGTGAGAGTGTATTATGAGACAACTGAGAGCCTGAAGGAGTTTGATTTCTGCTTTCCTCCTGCAGATTGTCGATGGCAAACTCTGGTTCCAGTTGGATTGTGGAAGTGGCCCAGGAATCCTGGGAATTTCTGGCAGGGCTGTTAATGATGGAAGCTGGCATTCAGTCTTCCTGGAGCTGAATCGCAATTTCACGAGTTTGTCCCTGGATGACAGCTACGTGGAACGCCGCAAAGCCCCCCTCTATTTTCAGACTCTCAGCACAGATAGCTCCGTCTACTTCGGCGCCCAGGTCCAAGTGGATAATGTCCGCAGCCTGACTGACAAGAGGACAACGCAGGTCTTGAGTGGCTTTCAGGGCTGCCTGGATTCAGTTGTCCTAAATAACAATGAACTGCCACTCCAGAACAAGCGCAGCAGCTTCGCAGAAGTGGTTGGCCTGACGGAATTGAAGCTCGGCTGCGTCCTTTATCCCGATGCCTGCGAGAGACATCCCTGCCAGAACGGAGGCACCTGTACTGCTGTGCCATCTGGTGGTAAATGCTTTCATTACTTTATGGGTTTCCCCCTCCCCATTTTCCTCAGTAATGTATTGCCAGAGATCGTTTTACGCAGCAACATGCTTGAAAAATCTCATGAACTCTGTAAAACTCTGATAGGTATTGCAAATTGGGTAAAAGCTGTTTGCTCTATAAATAATGGTGAAGCAGCGCCCCTTCTTACTGCATAAGTGTTCCAGGAGGAAATTGATTTATTGGCTGTTAGGATAATCCTATTTCTATAGAAACCAATAGAATTACAATTACTGTAATGCTCAGCTGGATTTTTCAGGATCCATTTACAGCATCCGTACGGCATCGAAGGCTGTACACAAAGATGGTGATTTCAAACGTCCATCATAGATGCAACAGCAGTTTTGCCTTACTCTGTTTCCAGAGCTGTCACAAATAATTACTGAGCTGTCCTCAAACACCTTCATCCTTTTGTGAGTAATTTGATTACATGTCTGCATGGAAATAGCAAGTTGGTCCCATTATAAATCCCCCCTCAACTGTATTTTACAGCTTGCTCAGAGGCCTGAGTGCTTTCAGGTCTAAGTAGTACTATCCAAAGTTTATACTGTTGTGATGTTGGAGTTTCCTATCAAGTGCTTATGTGGTGGTTTTTGTGATTTGATGCCAGTGACTTGCTGCAGTGCACAAGTTACCAGAACAGCCAGCATCTCAGCAGGACAAATGGCACACATGTAGCACGTTCCCTCTAGGGCTGTTCTCTCTGCAGTATACAGGTTTCCCATCCAGTTCCCTATATTATATTTGCATGCAGCACTGCACATCTTTTCTGGCAGACTAAAACTTCCTCTGAAAAGGAGGTTGCTCAAGAGAGAGGTTTTCTTCAAGTTCAGAGCTTTCCATCCAGCTTACTTTCAGTGATTTTGGTCATAGTTCCCTAGGGAAGTTCCCACTAAAACTCTTGTTTTATGAAGCATTTAACTACTGTCCCAGAGCTTTCTGCTTTAATGTGTCCATGCAGTTCTGTTGCACCCATAGCTTATATTTTTGGTTTCCATTAGTTTAAAGCTTGTTCTCATATTTCCTTTCTGACTCCCTTCCACCACATGGATTTGTCTAAACTTCAGGCCCAAACTTGAGACAGTTCAAGACTGACATGTCCTGAGATCTGAGCAAAATTGTCAAAAGTTTCTCAGTTGGATAGCCCCACCCTTATAAAGTAAGACCTGACAAGTAAGACCTGTTTATGTCCATGCTAGGCTGTCTCAGCTAGCATCCCCTATGGATCCTTGGCTTTGATTCAACTCCCATACCATGGCACTGATGCATCAGGGATGCTATCAGCTTTGCTGTTGATGAAAAGAGATGAGAGGACAGCTGGGAGGAATGAAGCACAGCCCAGGCAATCCAGGATGTGTTGTGCAGCATGAGGAGAAATGTTACTGCTTGTGTGTCTTTAAGGGTCTTTGTTTACCAAGAGAAGGAGAGAAAATGAGTGCTACACAACAAGGGCAAGAGAAAATTTCTCTGATTGCTAAGCATGATTATTTAAATCCCTAGGAAATGTGGCTGTAGGATGCACATGAACGTAACATGGCTTTGATTCAGACTCCATACTTCATAAATGAGGTTAACCATTTGCCTCACATCCTAGGAAGCATGAGAACAGCTCCTTGAATTGATTTTTTCGAGTCTATTTACAGTATTGCTCAGCAGTCTCATGATGAGTAAATTGAAACCTTTCTTTTTCCTAGTGCCATGTGCATGCCAGTTCAAACTGAGGGGAGATACAGGGTGGAGGAGAAACAAGGAGTACTGAAGATTGGACCCATCTTATTACTGGAGTGGCATACACCATTTTCATGTTAACAAAATTCACGGCTGGAAAGCAGTCACAGAACTGATTTAACTTGCCTGCACTCCTGCCTCTGCGAGGGGCATGTGCCCTGCAGGGATGTTTTGGCTGCCTGCCGTTAAAAAATCTGTTTGCTGTTTTTACTGCCTCAGCAGTGTATGTAAATAGAGGATTGTTATAAAGCCATAATTCCAGTGCAATGGGCCCTGACTGTATGTCGGTGGTTCTACAGCCCAGCCCATAAGGAGAAGGCATGGGCATTTTTGCTTCCACTAGGCAAAGCAATTCTGTTAGTGTCCTCCTTATGCAAAAAGGCCACATAATTAAATTCTAAGAGTGGAGAGTCCAGTACCATTGCAAATGCTAGTTGCAGAGCCACAAACTGTGATGTGCATTTAAGAACCATCAGCCATTGCATTTGCTGACATAGATGTTAGCAGCTGACTTCCATTTAAAATAGAAAAAAAAAAAAGAAAACCCACCTCTTCATTTTTAAAGAATTTTCTTGAGAATGAAAATGGCAGCTTTTTTTCATTTTTGGTGAGGGGAATAATTCAAAAATACATCCTGTGAAGGTTCTTCTCCCAATCTCAGGGCATTCAGTAGCATCAGGATCTCTTGAATAATATTTTCTATGATATTACCCTCCTATTAAAGTTTTTGGAGAACAGTGTTCCTTTTCCTAAACAGAGAGTATTCGGCATAATGATTAGTTTTAATAAATAATTTCTCTAATTTTAGTTTTTACAAAGCAGGTTTCACAGACTGTTAACATCCTTTTTCTTATAAACTCCCTACTGTGCTTTACAAGAAAATTAGGAGAGAGAAAAAGAAAGCTGAGATTTATAGCTAACTTCAGAGGAAAACAGTCAAACAAAGGTTACCCAGCATTATAGCATGAAAGAGTTGCTGGCTACATACCAGAAGTCAAAGGGGCTGTGTCTAATTTACATATAATTTGCATGAATTGGACATCTACAACACAAACCTCCATAATAGAATTCCTGTTGTGAGATCTTCCTTTTTATAGAAATGCCTACTGCCCTGTTCACCATTAATAAAAAGCTGCCTCTGATTACCTTTCGTTTCATCCTGCAGTTATGGGAATAGGGTAATATTATGGACATATTTGGGGAACAGCTAAAGTGATGCTTTGTATGCACTAGGAGAGTGTCCATGCCACAGCTGCTGGGGTTTGGATGGGTAAATTCCCAGCAGCTTCGAAGCACACATGCAGGGCAGTGCTGTGCATGGACCACACAGAGCTCAGGACTGATGGCAGAGGTATTGACCCAAAGGAGAGCTGGCACAGGTCTAAGTTGACCCATGCTGACTCTGTCTGACCTCTCTGCATATGGAACAGAACACAGTGGGCATCTCAGCCTGCAGGAGAAAGCATAGACAGCTCAGATGAGTACTCCCAGAGCATGGAAAAGCCTCTCTGCTTTCCAAGTCTGGCTTCTGAGCCAGTGGAAAGTGACGATGGAATGAACCTCTGCTTTCAGTGTTCTGTTCCCACAGGTCTGAATCATGTCCTGTGGCAGCTGTGTATGCCCAATGATGTCAATAGTTAAAGGGATATTACTGTGTGTCCTGAGTCGTCACAGGGAGATCCCATGCATGCTTAAACAGGGCTCACAGATGAGGATGAGCACTCACCTGGTCTGACAGCTCAGGAGACTAGTAGAAAAAGAGACCTACACAGATTCAGGGCAGTTTTCTTGGGAGACAGTGCAAACCACAGCCCTGAAATACAGACTAGGTTCTTCCAGACTTTTCAGTCCCTATTTAGAAGTATGGGTCAGTAAAGCAACTTTTAAAGAAAGTTAGTATTTTGAAACCTGACAAATAGCATAACTTTCAGAAACAACTTGGCTCTTTGAACTGAAATTTCCCAAGAAAATTCAACCAAGTGTTTAAAGTGTGGTTAAGCTATAAGCAGCTGAATATGAGGTCTTAAAATAGGAAATGTCACACAACCTTAATAATAGTGTGGCACTACCACGGCTGCCAATAGTAAATGTATGTTTATCTGCATGAGTAACAGCATGAGCAATCTCAGCAATAGAAATCTTTACTGTAATCAAATGCAAACCCTGCACCAAGATTTTAAACCACAGAGAGTAACCTCTTGCTTGTAAAACCTGCAATTATAAGTACAGTTACTTCTTTTTAATTTGATCAATCCTATATACATATGGCTTTGGTTAAAGTAAATGGCTTGTATGAGTGGGCGATTTTATTTTAACATGAAGCATTTGAGTGGAAATATCTACTGAGTCAAGGACTGTGGGCAGAGTGTGAGGACAGAAAGTTATTGCTTTCCCCTCTTCATTTGTCCTTTTTTTCTTTTTGCTGCTTTAATTACTTTTTCATGAACAGAGTTAAAATCCAAAGAAGGGGAAAACGCAACATGGCACTTGGGTGATGGTTTTAATACATGTTTTAAATGATGTTGTCAACATTGACTCACAGCTGGTTTTGAGGCTTGGGTACTTCATAAGAATGAAATCAGGGAAAACTGGGTCATGAACTGATGTGGTCTTACTGATGTTCTTGGTCTTACTTTTTCACATGTACAAACAACCCAGCATGCTGTAATGTGAGCATATCACATGCACATGAATTAATTTTTAAAAGCTTTTAAGAAATTTTGGGGGGCATTAATCTTTTTTATAACTATGCGTTTAGGCATCTGGATTTAAATTCCCAGTTCAAAAGCACATGCATGCCAATCCTTTCATAGAAAGCACTGGTTCAGCAAAGACTGAGGTTCATTTTCATACCAAAGAGTGGCAAGAGGCAATCATCTGTTTAAAGACAGATAAGTTAAATCTGAAGTGACAGGAATATGTATGGAGAACACTCACTTCTTGAAGGTGACCTGGTTTGACTATAAACATACCAAAACAAAAATTCTGGGAGAGATCCTCTTCACCTTCAGTTTCTCATCAGTTAACTTACCAAGTAGCGCTATGTGAGCAATGCCAAAGGCAGGGCTGTTTCTGGACATTATCAGGTCTACCCCTGCACAGCAGGGGTAGAAACTACACAGGGAGATCAAATGGAAAAACCGAAGCACGTAACAGATAAAAGCCAGCTTCTCTTGCGTGGGATAGATAGAAACAGGAGCATACACATGTTCAAAAACAGAATTGGCAGCAGCAGTTCGGCACAACCTCTTTAATAAAGCCAAGTAAACCTTAGGATAGACAGACATCCAGATGACAGACATTCAGATGCTCAGACTGGGAATGTTACCAACAGAGATGTTTGCTACATAACAGTACCCCATCTGCTGATGGCACTGTGCCTGCCTTTTGCCACTGTCTCTGCTTCTTAAGTGCCAAATAAACACAGGTATGGGCAGGAAGCCTGTGTAGTGTCCTTGCCTACCACATGTTGCTGTTTGGTAAGGTCTGGGATGATGAAGACCTTTTTCTCTGGATCAGGACATGCCAAGAGAGCAGTAAGGGAAGTTATTGAAGTCACAGTGAGAAGGTGAGATTTAGCTACGTAGAAGAGACTCAGAGGAGTATGAGAGAATCCTTATAAAACAACCAGTAAGCCCAAAGACTCTGATTAAGCAGGAAAGAGCTATGTCTGCATAATGTTTTAGATCATAAATGAGCTTTTATGTGAATCTTCTGACCTCTCCTCTGTCTGTGCTTCAGAGCTTCCTACTGAAGTGGAGAGGTGAGGTGTCAGAGGGCAGGACTAGGCTGAGTTAGAAGACGTGCACCAGGCATGCAACCAACTGATCCCAAAGCCCTGAGACACATACAGTGAGGGTGCTGGGTCCTCAGCACCAACTGTTTTGCTCCACAGACCCACTGTTGCTTACACTTGTTGTTGCTCTTAGGTCGTATTGGTATAGGCTACTGTGGCACATGCTGAGGGTGTTGTGGTCCCATCCTAGCAGTGTTGCAGAGGTGTTTTCCAGAGCTTTCTAACTTTTTCCAGTGGTTCCCTCTGAAAATATATAGACATTGCAAAATTTGCTTTCTTGGAGAATGCAGATCAACATTTTCAGCATCAGTGTGCAAAATATTTATATCTCTTGGCGGAAATTCAGATCGACTGTATGATCTTAAATGCTGAATTTCCAAGACTTCAGTGCCTTCATTGTTAACAGGATCAAGCCCTGCATTGCTTAAAATAGTTTTTTCATCCCCTGCTGAGACGACAGGGCACTGAGCCTTTTCTTCAGCTCTATTGTCCGTGGGTCTGAGAAGTTTGCTCATTATTCTTGTGCTAAATGGGAGGGATGAAATACATGATACATTACCAGGATATTAAATCAAAAGTATAATAAAATTTTTTGTTAGACTCAAGATGCACTCCTGACCAAAAGGGTTTTCTTTGCAATTGAACTTCATCCACAGCCATGTGGTGAAAACGTGCAGTAGTGGGCAAAATTACAGCCTCTGCTGGGAGGTTTGGAGAAGGATTAAAGATCTGGCAGGTCTGCTGGCTGAGCTGCTGCATACTGTGCATTGAGCCATCATATCAGCTCTTCACTTCCCTTCTCCATGAATTTTGACATATGCTTTGCTGTGTTGGAGGCCTCCCGGGTGAGTGCTGTGCAGCCCTGAGCTTGTGTTGTCACAGAAAAGTTCTGTGTCTTTTGCCAGTGGCTTAGGCTTGGCAGGTGTACGGCAGTGAATCTAGTGAGAGGAAACGTCAGTGATAAATATGGTAATTTAATACTGTCTTGTTTTAGTGCCTTTCTTATTTCTACCTTTGATCCTTAGACTTGGAATCTATAGTGAATATTTCAGTTGTCTAATATCTGTGTTCCACCGTCATTAAATCAAATTCAGTGAGAAAGGTAGGCTTTCAGAAGCGCACTTTTGGTCCTGTTCATACATTGCCAAACAGGGCTCTGACCCATCTAGAGCATTCAGTTTCATCTCCTCTTACTATAAAATGTATAAATCCATGTTCCTTTTATCCTTGGTGGTAAAAGTTGGGTTTTTTTTTTAATTAAATCGATACTTCTCAAGTTTTCTGTAATGAATAGATGTAAATAGACTATGTTACAGAGTGACAACCTAAAGTTTAGTCAGCTGAAACAAACACAGCATGTAAAAAGAAAGTGTTTCAAAGGCTTTGTCTTGCAAATGATTGGCACCTAGGAACGTGCTTAAAAACCAGTAGAAAGTTGGCTTTTAATGTCACTTTAAAGTTATGGAAGTTAAAAATATCAGATAACAAATAGAATAACATTTATATTCTTCTATGAAATAATTCAACAGAATTGATTATGAATAAAATGTTTTATATTTTAATTGAACATTTTCATTTCACTTAAACTCATTGAGACCATAAAAATCAGTATAAAACATTACTGTAAATTTTTGAACTATAGATGTCACTGTTCAGTCATAAAATGAAGCACTGAAACAGCCTTATTTATTTATGCTGTGTATCCTACCTACAGTCACAGGTTTGTAATATTTCAGACACAGATCTTCTCACCAGGTACAGAAAGCTGTTCACATTATCTGAGTGACAGAAAAAGAAATATAAGACACAAAAAGAAATAATCCCATCTTGCTGATGCTGGCTAAACATGCTTTTTAAGAAGCCTGAAAGTTGAATAATCTCTCTTCTTAACTCTGCAACCTTGAAAACAGCAGTGCTTCTGTCTCCCTTCTTGTAGCAGGACAATGAAACAGTGTGATATTTGAGTATCTATTTCATTTATCTTCAGTTAAATAGGATTGGACTCTTGACTGAGTATGCCAGCAAGTCTGGTTCCAAGTTTATTCTCAAAAGCCTGTCCTCATGAAAGAATTCAATTAGAGAAACTGAACAAGGCGAACTGAACCGGATAGGACATAAAAGATGTGGGAGTCTTAATGCAGAATTGCTTTTGCCTTATGCCTCCACTGGGCTTTCCCATATTGCTTCCATGAAATTCTTTCCCTTGTAACTGTGCTGGAAATTCCTGCCATGTTTACTGAAAGAGTAACTTTTAAAATAAGTATTTTATTTTTTGCCAGATGTATAGATATAGAAAGTTCTTAAAAATATGTTTGAAAGGCTCACCACTGAGGGATGGCAATCTACATCAGTTTGATCTCCAGTAATTTTGACACTGAATTGAGTTGCACTCAACCGTTTTAGCTCCAACTCCAGCAGTATTAATTGCAGGAAGTTTCCTTGTTCCAGTTGATTAATATGCTATATTCAGTAAGTATGTGAACCCCATAAATGGAACTTGAACCTTGCCTACACATCTGTTTAGGACATTTGGATTGCGTAAGGGGTCTTTTAAAAGAGCAGCCAAAGTTTTTTTACAGATGTCCAGGAAAATTTAGCTAGTTCAACAACTGTAATCTAGGCGCCTTTCCTTTCCAGGGACTGTCTCAACCATCTCATGGCTTTCACAGCCTGCATGTTCCTTGCTCTTTTCAGGTGAAAAAGCACTCAGATTTCTATATCCAGTTCACAACATAAAGAGATGCACTGCTTCACTGGATTTCTTTGTGACCTTAAATAAAGCTTTTATTAATGGCTTAGGGTCATATGAAATTGCAAAGAGGGGGAAAAAAAGAGATTGTCATTTGATACTTGGCAAGGTGAACTGATGCATTTAATTTTTTTTTTTTTTAACTTTGATGTTGCTCCTGTGTTGGCAGAAAACATAGAAATAAGACTTTGATCCCCAACAAGGTCCCCCTCTGTTCAAGTGGTGTTGTCTGATGTTTTGCAGCCAGTGATTAATCAGACTTTTGATAGCACACACTCAACATAATTAGCTCTGATTAGGGCTGGTGTTGCCCAGGTCAGCTGGTATTTTGAGTTTATAGTTACTTCCTGGAGGATGCAATTTATGAAAATCGTGGTTTATTATTCTCACATCCCTACTGTGTCATCCTTGTTAAGGGTAGATGTGGAAAAGCTCCCAGCTGATATATTTGTTCATCAGTGAAGCCCCAAGAGGAGTGTGGACTGTCACTATCAGCAAATATAGTCTGTATTTTCAAAAAGATTGGCAAATGCATCATTGATTGAGGATATTTCTTGTTACTGAAGTTGTTCTTGGATGATATTCTTACCTGAATCATGATAATTTGGATGGTCTGGGCTGGAACAATTCTTCTGGTCTCTGGTTGTAGACATGAGCTCCAGTTGTCCAGACATCCCAGATAAACAAACTCTTTACAAGCGTTACTGTGCACCACACAGACAGACCAGAATGTGTGTAAACATCCCCTTGCCTCCACAGTACAATATATTTTTGGTGTAAAGCAGCCATATGGGTCCTCTTGCTTCTAGACAGACTCAGTGGTAGGATTCTAATTTATCTCTCTCTGTCCCTCACCTCCCAGGGTACCATTGCAACTGCCTCTCCCAGTTTACAGGAAGGAACTGTGAGTCAGAGATCACAGCCTGCTTCCCAAATCCCTGCCGGAACGGAGGCTCATGCGATCCCATTGGCAACGCTTTCATCTGCAACTGCAAAAACGGCCTGACGGGAGTAACGTAAGTGTCCCTCCCCGGGTGGGCAACAGCTTTTCAGTTCAGTGATATCCTGCTTTTTGATCAGGCATTTTGTCTCCAAAAGCTGTGATTCACCCATCAAAAAATAAATCCAAACTTAGCACTTATTTCAAGCCTAAGCTAATGACAGTTGAGAAATCCATGATGCCTGAATGCTCATAAATGTTTTTCTGAACTTAGCCTCTGAAATTGTTGATTCAGGATGTTATCTTGAGACAGTTTTCACTGAGATATACCTGTTTAAGTGTTGGTGGCTTTTTGAGCAATCCTTCAGAACCTGTGGAAGCTGCTATGTAATATTTGTTTTGAAAGCGGATCCATTATTTAGTCACCTTAACCCTGACATAAAAGGATAATTTATTGCATTCATTTTTTAAAATTCCTGTCTTGACTTTATACTTGGCGCAGATACAGAAAATTCCCTGACCTGCCCATCAAAATTCTTTTTCCTCGTCTGATTTGTCTACTGTTTGTACTTTTTGCTCTGCATTTTACCACCTCTTGTTCTTTCCAGTTTTCCTCTCTCATTAGGGTTCCTGTCCTTCTTCTCCACCTCTCTAATATTTGCTCATTTTATCTTGAGCCCAAAATAATTTTACACAACCAGTATATTCTCCTCTTCTCTTAAATAAGTACTCTGATGTTACTACATTTTTTCTCAACTGTCTTCTCCCTGAATCCTCTTCTAATATTCTGTATCAAATCCTCTGGGATAGTCCAAAAACAATATTAAAAAAACCAAGATTCTCTGTTAAAGTCAGTGAGCCTCATTAGGGTCAAGGAGCGTTTTCCTATCAGATGCTTTTAACTCTTATTTTCTTCTTGATGTTTCCATTTTATTGTCTTTAAAAACCACAGAATAGATGTAGAAAAAATTAAATGTCATTAAATGATATGTTAATAGTAAGATAATTTGCTAAGCACCAGTGAGGTGTTACCTAATGGCACCTCTTTGACAAGGTAAGCTATCATGCACAAGCTGGACTGTTTCCTAGGTGTTGTCCAAACTCTAGACTCTCCTTTCCTTCTTTTAAGGTGTGAAGAAGACATCAACGAATGTGAAAGAGAAGAATGTGAAAATGGTGGCTCCTGTGTCAACATATTTGGTTCATTTCTGTGTAACTGCACCCCTGGCTATGTGGGTCAATACTGTGGTCTTCGCCCTGTGGTGGTTCCCAATATACAAGCTGGGCATTCGTACGTTGGCAAGGAGGAGCTGATAGGAATAGCCGTGGTCCTGTTTGTCATATTTGTGTTGATCGTCCTTTTTATCATTTTTCGCAAGAAGGTTTTCAGGAAGAACTATTCCCGCAACAACATCACACTTGTACAGGATCCGGCTACTGCAGCCCTGCTCAACAAGAGCAATGGCATCCAGTTCAAGAACATCAGGAACAGTGGAGACAGCAGAAATATCTACCAAGAGGTTGGACCTCCACAGGTCCCAGTGAGGCCAATGGCCTATACCCCATGCTTCCAGAGTGACTCACGGAATAACCTGGACAAGATAGTGGATGGGCTTGGCGTAGAGCACCAGGAGATGACGACGTTTCATCCTGAGTCCCCTCGAATACTGACAGCCAGGAGGGGGGTGGTGGTGTGCAGCGTAGCTCCAAACTTGCCTGCCGTGTCTCCCTGTCGCTCTGACTGTGACTCTATCAGGAAGAGCACATGGGAGGCTGGGACAGAAAGTAAGTAACTGTGTTCTGGTCTCATTCTTCTGTACCGTAGGTAAGGCTTGAATTCAGGGTGAGGCAGGTACAGTGGCATAGATACTCTTAATGCCCCAGCCTCTACATGTTGTTGTTACATGTGAGTTGTTATATTTCTCCAAGAAGTGATTTGGTTTAATTTTGAAAGGTTATAATTAAACTAGGCATACAAGAGGTCTACTTTTATGCATTAAGCATGACTAAATGCATTTATTTCACTTGTTCAGAAAGCGCACATGAGTAAGTGTAAGTGCTCTGAGCGTTAGTTCTTCAAGTGACACAAGGCAATCATCTTTCCATTGAAAAAAAATAATTTGGGGCATAATTCTCAAATATAAGTTCTGTTAGGTTCAGGCCATTTGTCTCCCCAAGGAAGTTAAAAACCTTTAAACCTTCTGCAAGAAGCAATCCTGGTTTGCAACAGGGAAAAATGAACTAATATTCTCTACTTCCAGTGTCTGTGAAGTGAAGCAGAAAATCATGTACTGCTTATAGAATCACCTTTTCAGTCCACTGCATTCCCATCTACATTCAGTGTCAGTCATTGCAAAATTTCCAATCCCCATGCTTACCCTATTTGTGCTCTGATGGTTTCTCAGCTGGTAACGCAGTGCTCCCTCCATTCCTGAACAAGTTGCTGGAGATACAGCAAACTTCTCATAGTCTGTCATGGCAGGAAATGCCAGTTTGCTGGAACAGAGTTATGGCCCTACATCATCTATCCTTGCTAGTCAGAACATATCACATGGACTGGGAGCTGTTTGCTTCATCTTACAGGATTTTGTTTTACATGTTTTCTCTTATTAGGAGTTTTTCCTAATGCGTCTTCCCGTACCAAGAGGGGGGCTTACAAGAAGGCTAGAGAGGGACATTTCATAAGAGCATGTAGTGACAGAACAAGGGAGACAGGCCTTGAGCTGATGAAGGATAGGTTTAGACTAGATATTAGGAAGGAATTTTTTACTGTGAGCATGCTGAGGCCCTGAAACAGGCTGCCTAGAGAGTTTGTGGCTGCCTTATCCCTGGAAGTGTTCAAACCCAGGTTGGATGAGGCTCTAAGCAACTTGATATAGTGGAAAGTTCCTTACCCTTGGCATGGGGATTGGAACCAGATGATCTTTAAGGTCCCTTCCAGCCCAGACCATTCTGTGAGTCTATGATCTTCAACTCTATTGCAGCAAAGCTTTAACCAAAACTGTCAAATAAAACTATACGATCCAGAAACTTTCATAGTCCTGTAGTTTTAGGCAATAGGAACGGAGGAATAGAGAGAGGAGTCTGGCACTTCCCTTAAGGAGATTGTAGTAAGATGGGGGTTGGCCTCTTCTTCCAGGCAACTAGCAATAGGACAAGAGGACAACATCAAGATGTGTCAGGGAAAGTTAAGGTTGGACGTCAGGAATAATTTTTGCACTGAAAGGGTGGTTAAGCCTTGGATTGGGCTGCCCAGGGAGGAGTCACCATCCCTGGAAGCGTTCAAGAAAAGACAGCACATAACACTTCGAGTTAGGGTTTAGTTGCCATGGTGGTGTTCAGTCAGAGATCGGACTCGATGATCTTGGAGGTGTTTTCCAACCTTAATGGTTTTATGATTCTATACCTGTGCCCTGACTTGCACATTTTCATCTAAGGCAGCCCACTGGCTAAGGTTTTCTAGTGAAAAACAGGGAATTAATTTTCATTTATTTGGGCTGTATTTCAGAGTTGTGTTGTGGTTGACCTTTTAAATCTTTAAATATATGGTTGTGCTGATTGAAAGCATCAGCATGCCAGGCCTCATACATGCTCTGTTCTGTATTCTCCTGGGTGTTTCTGCCAGTGACACTTCTGGTATCTGTATGAATTTCTGCACAGCATGAGGCCATGCCATGGAGACAGACCTCAGCTGTCAAGGAGTGGGAAGCAGTGCAGCTTCATTACTGCAGCACTCACTCCATCCTCTACATACCCTGCTTCTCAGCAGTAGCAAATCAGCCCTTGCTGTATGGAGGTGTGCCATGCTGAGGAGAAATATCTGCAGCTAGCAGGTGGAGAGCTGTACTTCCATGTTTGTAGCACCTGAGCATTTGTTATTTGGCTCATGTCTCTCTCTCAGTGCTTACTGTGGGGGATAATTTTTTTGTGTTCCTGATTATCTCTTTTATAATGTGTAGTTGAATGAGTTTATTCACATGTGTTTAATTACAGGAGAATTTATACCATAGGTTGCAGTTACATGCTAAACAGTGAAGTTGTCAAGATTGAATGTCCCTGATGAAAAGCAATGTAAATTGAAGGATAATCTATTATATGTCAGTGATGGAGCTATTAGAATCTGATCCAAGGGCCACTGATATGAATAACAAGATGCACAATAACTTTATTGAGCATTGAATGAGCCTTTAATGAGGTTCTCAAATTAGGAAATGAACAGTAAAGATAAATGTAACTGTAATCTCTTGTATAAGCTGTTTATACCACATTCTTTAAGTCATCACTTTTTTTGCTGTTGAGACTACATGTCATCTAAAAAAAGGCAATACTGAATACAGATGTTTCTTCCTTGATTACAGTGCTGTCAGCCACTTGAAAGACTCTTTGGGCTTCAAACACTTCTAAAGTCTAGGTATCTTCAGCAGCTGCCTTCTTGATGAATAGGTCATTTCCTCTGGCTAGAGGAAGTAATTTTATGTTGACAAAAATAATAGAAGGCAGGATTTAAATGTGTCCGTGGTATAAATAGACAAATGTGCATACCTAGAGAGTACCTTTTTGCTTTGTTTTTGCTGTCAATGAAGGTAAAGGGGTTGATGACGCTGAAGAAGTGACCTGTTTTTCAGGAAGTAATAAAGGCAGCAACTCCGAAGTACAGTCCCTCAGCTCCTTCCAGTCTGATTCCGGTGATGATAATGGTAAGAAATGGTTTTATCTCTGTTATTCTGGGGGAAAAGCTATTTAGCTCTCTTTCTAATATTATTGAAAACATTTATGTGACATCTTGAAAGCCTTTAATGATGCTGAAAGTCAAAAAGTCCCAGGTTCAAACCCTCACTTTATGTCCACTTACTAAATTAGAGGAATGTAATAAAAATCTGTAGGAATGTGATAAAAATCTTGATGGTTGGGGCTGTTGCCTCAGGACCAAGCTTTAGAGTGAATTAGAGATATGGTATAGTAGAGTCATATTGACAAGGTACATGTTGACTAATAGGTTGCAAGTGAAACTGTAGAATTTTTATCATTTTCCCTGTTAGAAGAGTGTGACTTTCATGTTTCATCAGTCACATAAAAGGAATTTCTGTGCCATTTGCCAGGTCTCATTCATGGTCCCAACAAGACTCTGCTAGTGCTCAGCAGCAGCAATGAGTGGATGAGCCAGTCCCTGGTGGCTTGGCTTCTTCCTGGTAATCACAGCTCAGGAAACAATAGAGCACCATTCAGTCCTTGTTCAGTGCATACTCAGTGCCTGTTCTCATGTCCTACATCATTATCTCAGTGGGTGACATGGGCAGAGCCATATACAGTCTGAAAAAGACCCACAAAATCAGAGCAAACCTTTGTTCCCACGACCCATGTATGTTGAGCAGTGGGTCTGAGAAAAGGCAAGATGTTTCTGCTCGGAAGGGGTGGTGGATTTCAGGGAAGCCTCATTCAGAGACACAGAAAAAGACTAGCACAAAGAAATTGTACTTGGTTTCCTCAGCTGCCAGTTAATGAACTGTCTGGAGACTTAGTTCCTCAGTCATGTCATGCAGCTCTTCTCTAGGTACTCTGAAATGTTGGAAAAAGTACTGAAAGCAAAGTGCACTTGCAGTTCCTTTTGGTTCAGCTGTGTCTGAAGCATCCCGATTATTTTTGTTAAGCTTCTCAATGCTTTTCTGCCCCTGCACCCAAAAAAAACCTTTGGCATGTTTTTAGAATGAGTATTATTTTAATCATATATACTTACATTATAATTACCTTTATAATAATTATTCAAGTGGTCATTTATTGTTCATTGTTACTTTTTATATCTCCCACATTCTAATTAGACATTTCAAGCTCCTGATTCTCCCTCCATTTAATTCAGTGACACAGTACCCACAGAAGCTGCATTGGACCTTCTGTGCCCACTCATTTTTTGTGAAAGCTGCATTTAATATAAGGCCTTTAGAGATAACAATTCTAGTTCAGGGTCCAAGCAAATCCATATCTTCCAGGAGAATGAGGGAAGAAATTTAAATCAGCTGAGTCATTTGCAGAGGTCAGTGCAAGACCATATGCTCTGGTTTTCTTGAAGCAGCAGGAAAGGTTTGCAGTGAAAGAGCCTAAAATGCAAATTCAGGCAGAAGTAAGCACATAGATGTTCACATACATGTACTTAAGGACTAACAGATATCCCTTCTGAAGCCATAAATCCTTCCTCTTCCTGTAATTTTATTTCTTTTTCTTCACATACCTACAAAGGTTAAAAGGTTGTCAGTGAAACCACAGCCAAACCAAACTCCTATCTCCAAAGCCAAGAGCAGTGCTGCCAGGTTCTCAAGTGGCTAGCAGAGAGAACAGGCTTGTGCCATGCTGATGTACAAGTGGCAGTGCCAACACTGTCTTGTAAAAATGGGTAATTGCTTCTGACTGGGGAAGCCTGTTTTGCACCGTGAAGCACTGGGACACATCCCATCGAAGGTGTGGACAGCCCTAAGCTCTTCAGTTTCTATCAGGTGCAGGCAGCCTCCACTCAGCCTCTCCAGAATGCTTGGAGGCTTCTCCTGCTGGGTCAAATAGGGCTTGTCTTACCATGAAAACTCCTTTTGGGTGTGGTTTTTAACCTACCTTTCCCACATACACACACCTTATTTCTACTGCATTTAAGTTGCTCAGCGCCCCTAAGTCTTGCTGAGAACAGTTAGCAGTATTTTTTGTGATCAAAAAGCAAAAAATCTGAGCAATGTTGTATTTGGGTGTTGACTTGCGGTGAGCTGTAAGCAGTTTCCCTCCTTTCTGTGAACACGCTCTGCTCAGCTCCCACCTTAGTTGCAATGAAGACTTTTGATCTCCTGTTTTTCACTCTCAGTTCTCCTCGTAGAGTTTACAGCTGCCCTTCATGTCTTCCCAACCATGCAGCAGCTAATTGCATAGAGTCCCTTATTTTTCTGCTATGTTTATTATGCATTAGCCAGTACAAGTGTCCTTTGTACAACTGCCACCGCTGTTGATGGCATAAACATGCTGAACATAGACATAAAACGTGGCTGCTTTGGTTTATCAAGGCTCTTTTTGCCAAGCCTTCACAATAACTGGGGAAATTGGATGATATCCCTGATCCCATGCCCAAAATTTAACAAAGATGTGAAAATATTCAACATATATTTGCAATGTTACTGTTAATATGTTTCTTGTGACCTCAAAATCCGTTGGTGATGTGAAACAAAAAAGTATGTCTTGCACAGCATTTCTGGTCCCCTTCTCAGCCTGCTCCAAAGCAATCCTTTTTTTCACAACTAAAGACAAATGAAAAGGGATGGATCCAGTGCCCACTGAACCAGAGCTTTCCCTCTGGTTTTGATGGGTTTATTTCATATCCTCTCAAGCAGGGGTGTTAGGTGCTGCAAAGTGCAGATCAAGAGGACCACACATTGTAGGCCTTCATACTAAACACCTGCACAGTCTCTATTAATTATTCCAAGAAGAAAGTGTGTTTTGGTAAAACTCCTGCAGAGAACACACAAAGCATTTGTGAAACTATTCTGTCAAACAGAGATCAAAATTTGAACCAAACCTACTTGCATGAGTCCTCCTGCACTGCTTAATGTCCCAGAGGTATTACGTGGCACAGCACAAAGGGTAAATAAGTAAAACTTTCCTCTTAGGAAATAGATTGAGCTTAGCTGTTTCTGGTGGTGTGATGGTCAAAAAGATAATGATCCTTGGAGCACATGGCACCGTCTCTAGAGACCTCTAAGCAAGAATGAATTAGAAATTAGTGTCAGGTAGATGAGCTACTGCTTTGGTTAATTGAATCAGCTGGCCAGTCTGCTTGAATTTATGAGTGATACACATCATCCCATATGCCTTTCTGGAAATACTGGTTGGGAATTTATCACCACTCTGAAAATGTATGGGATTATCTGAAATGAAATGTCCTGCAACCCACTGTATAAATCATGCATTGGTCGGCAGCCTTTTTTTTTTTTTTTTCAATGTCAGTTCTGTCTGTTTGAGAGAATTTATTGTGGTAACATATGACGTGTGTTTTAAATACTAACCTGAAGCTGTCCTTCCCCTCCCTTTATTTTCTACTTTCCCTCCCCTGCAAGCTTCCATAGTGACTGTCATACAGCTTGTCAACAATGTAGTTGACACTATAGAAAATGAAGGTATTTAATTTTTTTTCTTTCTTGTTATGCAACAATGCTTCCTGTTTTCATTGTGAAAAATTCCAACAGAACCTCACTAATCTACACTGACCAGCAAACCTATGGCAGGGATTGGGTTTTGCAGATCAGCATGTTCACCAGCAAACATGAAAACGCCAGAGGAACATACCACAAAATGTCTCTGGATAATTGGAGGTGGTAGAAAAGGTGTCAAGCCTTCATCTTCTGTTCAAGTCAATGTTTTTCTTGTTAACTCCCACTGCCTTCAGAGAAAAGGTTAAATTGGTAATGGAACCATACCATTGAGGTTATCCTGGCTGCAGAGACTGGTAAACAGAAGATGACACAGGAAGGCTGTAAAGTATCCCATGCTGCAGTAGAGCTGGGTTATGCATTCCAGTGGGATCACACGGAGAGGAGCAAAATGATGGTAGGCAGGTGGTTGGTTTGTCACAGGTACCCCTGTCAAACAGATGTGTAGACACAGCTCCATGGATGCCCTGTAGCAAGGCAGCCTGACTTTCCCCTGGGGTTAATGTGCCCATTGAATAGAGGATGCCTGTGTGGTTCAAGGACCCAACACTCACCTCTTCCACTGACCTCCTGGGTAACCTCAGGCTCATTAAGTTATAGGTGAACTGATTTCCCTACCTGTAAAGCAGGAATATCACTACTTTCCTTTTCTGTTAAGCACTGAGGAAATGTGTTGTCTCACAGATAAACATTTATTTATTTTTACAACATATATCCTATCCTTGCAAAAATGTCAACTCAGTATCAACTCACGTTATCCACAGGTCCAAAATTTCATCTGTCCATAGCAAATTTGAGCCAGATTTTGCAGACTTCAGCTAATCCAGTCTGCATAATACTTAAAAATTATTAAGTACATTATTTTTGTGAAACAGCTGATTTTTTTTTTTTTGAGCCAATTCACAGTAATTTTGAAAAACACTTTTGCTCCTATTTAGTGAAGGCATTTGACTATTTGTCTGTAGGATGTATATGGATTTCCTGAAGTGTGGGTGCCATTCTTCTCATTATCAAATACATGTACTAGCCAAGGTTAATACAAAAATAAGGAAAATAACCTTGCAAAGAAAACCACAGGCACTGTAAATGTCCTTTCCTTCCTAAAGGAAAACTTAAGCAAACACATTGGCTTCCCCTCATGCTTTACAGATCCAAAAAAGCCAGCTTGGCAGCAGTTTCAAGGGGCTGCACTAAAAATGCTTTCCTCTCTTCCCAGTTCCTTATGAGACTTACAACTCTTGCCTGCTTTGTACTGGAGCTGGCAGAAGTGTTGAATAATTAGCCACACTGGAGGTCTGGGTGCTTGGTAGGCAGAGTCACTGCCACAGAGTCATGGGAGAGTGGGGCTCCTGTCGCAGGCACCTGCCAGGGGTTGTTCAAGTCAGCAAATTAGAGAGGTTCTCCTGGATTCTGAACCACACAGCTCAGAGGGCCCTGACGCATTTTGGTGCAATGCCATTACACTGACCCAAATACAGCAAAATCCACTTTACAAAAAAGAGAGAAGTGAAGAAGAGTGATTAGGGCCGGTTCAGACACTGCTGCTAAAGCTGCGGTAGCTGTAGTCCCAGCCCTCCTCGCTCCAGGATATCACAGAGCAGGTAGAGAGCTACTGTCTGGCTAACAAGTTAATGAAGAAATCGCCATCACCACATGTACCATGTGGTGGTAAGCAAGGGCAAGTGAGGTCTTGGTAGGTGGAGGCCTAGAGAACAGTATTCTCTGGCCTCATCTGTGTCTGAGCCCCAGAGGTGAAGCCATAAAGGCCTGTTTATCTTGCCAGACCTCCTCCAGCAATGCCATCCAGAGACCTTGCTGAATGACTTCTTGCATGAAGCCCAATAACATGTGGCTGAACAAGAGCATATCCATCTAGAAAATGCTGCAGCTTATTCCCCGCTCTTGTCTCACATAAAACCTCTTTCCTTGCTCTCTTCCCCACCCCTGCACCCTCTCCATACCGGAATGCCTCCCTCCCCACCAGCTAGCATGGCAGTGCAGGTGGGAGGTGGGTATGGGGTTGTGGAGCATTGTAGCTGACGGCCCCATTAAATGGCTTTGTATTCTATTCTATTCAGGTTCTTATACCGTGCCCATCACCATGGTATCTGAGCCCAGGTGGGCCCAGATTTGTTTGAACCGGCCCTGAGAATGGTAGATTCTTATTTTTCTGTTTCAAAGTGAAAAAGTGAGAAAAAAATGTACTTTGCAATTATAAACCATAGAGATGGTGGATAACCCTTTTTGTATTAAGAATTCCAGCTCTAATGTAATTCCACATCTCTTCAGTGAGGGTAAACAATTAAGATATGATAGAAAAGGAATATAATACACGACATAAACATTTTTTTATGTATGTCTGCATTTGACGGGCAAGTTTAGCTTGTACGTTAAAATAAAGAACAATTAAAAATCCTGTTAAAATAACTCTGAGGCAGCTGTACTTTAGAAATATGCATGCAAATTTTTGTATTTTCACATGTAATACAATGCTGGTAACAAGCTCAGAGTTACCAGTTTTTACTTTTTACTTTGTATCTGACAGTGTCTGTTATGGATCAAGGACAGAACTACAACAGAGGTGATTTTTCTGGGACACCTTCTGCCTGTCGGACTGGGCTGGGGTGGGCAGAGCACTGATGATCTATTTGTTTTTTTTTCTTGAACTGCTTCACGTGTACTCTTTTGTTTGAATTCTGTTGGGTTCATAAGCTGCATGAGAAGGGTCAGCCACTTTTTTCAAAATTCAGTTTTCACCGATCAGATTATTTGCTTGCACACTTTCTTTCTTGGAGTCATTGGAGGTGGAAGGGGAGACGAGTTGTGATGCCATAAGCATGCTGATTTATAGATCTTTTCAATTAACTGTGAAAAGCAGTAATGCAGACATTTTTGTCATTTTGATTTATCAGACTTACAGTTCCTAATACAACACAGTGGCATCCTAAAGAGCGAAATGCCTGAGAGTGGCCATACTCTGTTTCCCTGCTTGTTTGCATTATCATCATAATGCAATTTATTCTCCTCCTCTACCCTCCCGGTCAGAGCATGGGTGACCTGTGTCAGTGGCCTGTGGAGCATGCTGTGATTTGAATGTGCTGTGAGGACTCTGTGCATGCAGGACACTCTGTTCTCATTTGTGGTCTCATCGTAACAGAGCGCTATGATTCTCTTTCCTGCTGCAGCGTATCATTGGGATACCTCTGACTGGATGCCAAGTGCTCGCTTGTCCGACATTGAGGAAGTGCCCAATTTTGAGACAACAGATGGAGGCTCGGCTCATCACGGCAGTACCAGAGAACTGGAAACAGATTACTATCTTGGTGGCTACGACATTGACAGTGACTACCCTCCCCCTCACGAAGAGGAGTTTTTAAGCCAGGACCAGTTACCACCCCCTCTTCCAGAGGATTATCCAGACCAATATGAAACCCTCCCACCCTCACAGCCAGTCTCAATGGCGAGTACTCTCAGCCCCGACTGCAGGAGACGGCCGCACTTCCACCCTAGCCAATACCTCCCTCCTCACCAGTTCCCCAATGAGACGGACACCACGGGGTCTCAAGCTGGGAACGAATTTAGTACTTTTGCTGTTGGTCCGAGCCAGAACACAGAAAACGTTAGTGCAGGTAAGATGCCTTTATCCTTGCACAACTCTCTAGATGCCTCCTCCTCTGATGTCTCGGCCAGCTGCGGCTTTGATGACTCCGAAGTAGCCATGAGTGACTTTGAAAGCGTGGAGGAACTCAACTTAGAAAATGTTCACATTCCATTTGTGGAGACCCAGCATCAGACACAAGTGTAAAGGAAGCTCCTTTCTTCTTCTTCCTCCTCTTCTTTTTTTAATTTTGTCATTTGGTCCAATTAATAGTATAAATATTGAGAAGAAAATATGCTGGAGGTGTGTCTATATATATTGGGCAAGGCAAAAATACAGTATAACTCCTTGTTAACTTGTTCAGAAATGATACTGTATGTGCAGACACGAAGAGACCAATTGTGTTAAGTATTATACATCACAAAATTGTTACAGACAATCTGGAGAGTGTGTACCTGTATTTATTACCAAGAGTAAAACTCAGCATTTGAGGCAGGGGGAAACAATAATTGCTAAATAATTTCTTTCTCTCTCCTAAAGTTTGATTTTTTTATTTTCATTGTGTTATTAAAAGTGTTACAGTGTTATAATCTCCCTACATTAATAAGGAACTGGTATGGATCATTCCGAGATTCACTGCTGCGTGAAACTTTATGTCAGCAAAGAGTGAAAGCAAGTGATTGCTGAGGCAGATGTGTACAGCTTTTCAGATGGCTGAAAAAAAGCAACATTTACAAATTGTCCTGTCAAAAGACAAGTAATCAGTTACTTGTTCATAAATATTTATCTATACTTTTGTTTGTTACATAGCATTTCATTCTACTTTGTGTACATGTAGAGCAACATACATACAGTTTATATTTACTCCAAATTGGTCTACTTTGGTTGCCATCTTTTTAAAACCTGATGTCAGGTGTGTGTGCATAGCTTCACCTGTGAGAACTTCTAGAAGTGTCAGAGTTTGGCTCAGGAGTAGCTTGGTTTTGCCCCAGCTGCATATGCACAGCCTCCCTTGACTTCTGTATGCAATGTGAACATGCATCTGAAAACACAGGGAAACCTAACTAACTACACATAGCTGATTTATTTTTTTTTTTAATTTCTTGCTTAGGCAATCACCTCTTTAACAGCAGTCATTATGCTACACTTACTGCAGTAAAATCAGTTGCAATTAAGTTGCAAAACCTCAAATTGTTAGCTTAACTTCACTTGGCAAATGTCCATCCCTAGAGTTTACCGGATGAGCTCTCAGCTACTATAAACTGACTCAGGCAGTGGAACTGCGTGGATGGACTGTGGCCAAAGATCTGGCCCTAGATTTTCCACTGGATTCATGATTTGACAGCTTCCAAAGGTTGTTTGCAGACTTCAGAATATTGTTGTGGGATCAAGAACGGGATGTCATCTGTATGCTTTTATGCTTTCTTCAGCCTGGTTGGAGTAAATGGCCATTCACACTGATTTAGCCTGAGCAGCAAAGTGCAATATGGAAATATGGGATTTTCAGTCAGTGTAGTAAAGCAGAATATGCATACCTGTTGCTCAGTGCTCTGAAAAATGTTTTTACCCCTGCAATTTACAGCATCTATATTTGTTACCAGTGAATGTGTGTCTACAAGTCTGCATTACTACTGGGTTTTTCCATTCCTTCCATGGCATAATTCTGTCATTCTGAAAAGTTATTGAATACCTAAATCATTGTGGTACATGAATAGATTCAGTAACAGGTTTCCTATGCTGCTTTCCATGTCCTGTCTCTTGGTCAGTCATCTGAACTGGATAGTTTCAGTAGTTGTATTCCAGGGCATGTTTTTGACTGACTTGAGTTTCTCCCAAGATTAAATTGTGGGCCATTTCTTGACATACAGGAAGCATTTATTCAGAAATTGTCCCAAATACAAAGAAATTATTCATAGAATTTCATTTAAATAATTGCAGCTTGTAACACTTTTAATAAAACAGGATTTCTAAAATTCTTGGAGTAGGTACAGTGTGTTGCTGCTTCCCTCCAATAGCTCATGTAAATATCGAAAACTGGAGTAGATATTTTCTTTGAGATGATGCAGCAATTCCTCAGTAGAAAACAGCTCATTATACAGATACATGAATAAATTGAGTGAACTTCCAGAAAGAATGTACTGCACATACAGGTATTATCGAGTATTCGTCTGCAAATAGGTCCCGTCCATTGAATTTATGAATGTCACTTGGTCTTCTCAAAGTAAACATGCTTCTGTAATGGTGATATATTCTGAATGTGCTCATGGTGCGTTTCAACCCCTTTTTCCCTGCTAATATTCCTGTGATTTTAAGAGGAAAAAAATATGGAAATTTGTATTGTGATTGCAAAGAACTGAGGGATTTGCCAAAAAAGCCATAAAATGGTTTGGCAAGCCTAGAGGCATGGATAGAAAATAAGTCTTATTGTTCATGAAGTCTATGTTACAGGAAAGGAAATGCAATTAGACTGATGTCTCTTCAAGAGTAGGAACATCAGAGTTTGCAAAACAAAGCTGCAAATTTAGCTGCACTTTTAAAGCTTGTATGACTTTCTGAGAAATGTGATGCTCTCTTAGCATTGGGCTGCAGTTTACATGAGGTATGCTCCTACTCAGTTTTGGTTTGAGACATTTTTATCCATTATGCAATTAAATCTGTTTGAGCCCCCAGATAGTTATTAGGTGTACTTGTCATCTGTCTTCTGTAGTGAAAATTCTTGCGTAAGCCTGAGACACCTATATCAAGCCTTTACTTGGACATATCAAAAATGTCACGAGGGAGAACACCATGGGAGCCTAGTTACCATACAGAAAAAAAAAAATCAATGTTTCTTACCAAGCTTGTTGCCTCAGTAATATATTGTTGGTAGTGAGTTTTACTGGTAAAATATGCATAAATGCAATGTAAAGTACTTTTTCTGTTTGATGTTGTTGCCATTTCATTTCACTGAATGCCTACTTATTAAAGTGCTGTTGGGAAGGTGCCAGTGATCACCCATTCAGCCTTCTCTGTCCTACTCATGATTTCTATACCTCAGTATCTCCTCCCCTCCAAATCCATCTTTAAACAGATTCCCTTCTGTGAATATGGTACTTCCATGGCCTTTCTGGTTTTGTTCAAGCTCTTTTTGATAAGACCCAAACACAGATCTAAAGGTGAAATACCTCTTAGGGAGTCAGATTTTCATATTAACAACTCTTGTTAAACCAAACCATTTTATTGTCTTTTTAATTACTGATCCACATGTACAAGTCACAATCTTCTAATCTGGAAGATAACAACGCATTCATAACCTAATGTCAGAATTATTGTTCATATTAGTCCACCCAATATATATTTCTTTTCTCTGCCATATGGTGATTTTTGTATTGCTGCTGCTGTCATTGCCAAGTCCCTGGTTCTGCGAAAGCTCCCCTCACATCTCTGCTTATCCTGTGTGTCTGTATTTCAAACTACATCCCTGTAGATGGCTCCACTACACGGTATTTTCTCTCAGAATCATCTGTAGCAGATGATTTCACAGGTTTAATAAAGTACTTTTGAATATCATTGGGTTATAACTCCTAGAATTGAGGAAGTCTTTGCTTTTTGTAAAGAAACAGCAAAAGAAAAAAGCAGCTTGTTAAAATGCAAATACTCACTTGGATCAGAAATCACTGACTTTGCTAGGGGTGTATGAGGCTGAGGAAAAAGGGTACTTGTTCTCCTCATTTTGATCAGGTTGAGAGCGTCATGCACACTGATAACCCTTTTGATAACTCTGGCAACAGAAAGAGGCAGACAACATGATTTATGCTGCCAGTACCACATTAAGTGGCTTTGTGCAAAAGGAAAAATTAGGCTTAGGTACCTTTCTTAAATATGTTAATTATTTTGCCTTTGTATTACAAACATTCCAAAAAAAAAAAAAAAAAAAAGGGGGAGGGGGCAAAAAGTTCTCCACAAAACCATAGATAGTGGATGTTGTTGCTGTCCTGGGCCAGTATCTTATAGCAGAGTAAAGGGCCAAATGTGACCCTGAGGAGTGCAGAATCACTTCCCTCTCATGGGAGGAAATGGACAACCCCACTAGAAGACCACCATAAAGTTGTCTTCCTATAGGACCCTCCTATAGGACACAATGTATGAAGGCAACCAGGAGAATTTTGGAATGCAGAGATTCACTACAGAATTGTGATTTTTCTGTCTATCAAGCTGTTTTCCTTAAGCTCAGTGCCATCTTTGATTCTGAACTATCCCATGGGTTTCCTTAATTGCAGTAAAAGGCTGTAAGGAGTCAAAAGCTTCTCACTGCCACTGTTTTGCTGAATCAGAAAGCTGTGTGCTTCATCTCTCAAGCAGGGTCCCACCCTCTGCATGTCACACAAAGAACCTAAATTCTGGTCCTCGGAAATTTTTCTCCTGTTCTCTAAATTCTCTGGTGTAGTGTGAAAAAGTGATAGCCTTGATCTATTGGTACCTCCAGAAACTCAGAGTGGGTGCAGCACAGTGAAAAAAGTGGTTGCTCTTGGCTCATATAAATTGCATTTTAAAGAGAAATGTGGGCTGGACAACAAAAGTGGTTAAGAACACAGCTCTACTCCTCATCAAGCTCCTGCTTGAAAAAACTAAATGAATGCTATTAGTATATTCTTATAGCCCATAATAATTGCGGTCATGGGAGAGGGAGTTGAAGGTGCCCTCGACCAGTTCTGCAAAGCTTCCTTTGAAAACGAAGCACCCTTAATAATGGAGGAAACCAGCTCTTTAAAACTGTAAAAACTACTGCTGAAAGTACACCTGTGCTTTGTTGGTAATGTTTGGAGCTATTCACTGAGTAACAATGGACACTTCATCGGTTTCCAAGAAGAGAGCTACATCTTCAGGTTCATTCCCTGATGGTTTGCCGTCATTTACCATGCAGTAAAACTGTGCTTTTTTGCCTGTTTGCATCTCTGCTCCTCTCAATATGCCAAACTGTGATTTGAGCCTTAGAAATTTAGACCATTGGCCATTACCCATGGATTTTAACCTGTGTTTCATAACTTGACATTTAACATCTCCATTATGAGAAGGGCCATTCAGTTAGTAATTTAGCTGCATCATTCAAGGGATGGGTGGATGGGGAGGAAATGAAATTAAATTTCATTTCTGTGTGTAATAATGAAAAGCAATAATTGCAAATATGTCGTATTACACAAAGGCCATAAGTAATCTTTACCAGTGTTAAGAGTGCATTTGAACTGTACAGAAAGAGATTGGAGCCCTCAGAACTGTAGCATTCTTTTGTCATAGGAATACCTGAAACAATATTATTTAACAATGCAATGAGCCCAAACTGCCGCTTTTCAGGAGATGACAAAGATGTTTAGGAGTGAAAGCAGTTCTCTTTAAAGCACTGTATTGGAAAAGATTGTCTTGTAAATTTTACCTGTCGCAATCAGGCTGGTTTGTAAAAGATGTATGTTTTGGTGTTTAAAAAGAAGTTTATAAAATAATGTATATAACGGTTTCAAGTTACCAGGCTTTTGTAGATATTTGATGCCAATCAGGTCGCTTTAATTTTTTTGTTGTTTATTTGTTTGTTTAATTCTAAAGAGTCATCAAAGTTGGTTTAAATTTTAAGATAACAGCAGAAAACAAAAACAAAAAAGTTTTAGATCTGAAAACTTTTTAATCATTTCAAAGTGTACTGTAACTTTCCTTTGGGTTCAGCTCTTTTTGTTTAACTTCTTTCTGTTTCTAAGATGTTTTTTATTGACTTTTTTTAAATGAATGTGTTTTGCACAAAAAAACCTAGAGATATGATTTTTATTCCATTCCAAGTAGGTATTAAGAGATGTCATTTTTCCAATGACAACACACTCAACCTTATGCAAAAGGGAAGGTTTATCACTTGAGTGGGTATAGTTCTTCATCTGAAAACTAATTGTTTCTTCATCATTGCTGTTGGCAGTATTGTCTTGTGTTCTTTTGCTATAAAAACAAAACAACAACAACAAAAAAAGTGTACAGGTTTGTAACTGCCAAAATTTGCTAAAGTTGATGGTTAAAACAAGTTTTCCAAGTAAACAAAAAGAAAAGCCCAGCTGTGTTGACTGCTTCTTAATTTTTCTCCTACTTTCAAAGGAGGGAACAAGATAAGACACATCAGTTCTGCAAGGAATGTAGCATGTCATTGCCACTCTGTGTACAGGACTTTAGATAATTCTACGGTTTTGCACTCTTCAAATTAGTTTTATTATTACATGGCAATTCCTCTATAGGGGCCCCTGCTTGCACTGCAGAGCACACTTGCCATGAGTTGTTTAACTGGTGAGTGTAAGCTAAGGCAATTACCTGATTAAATCCACATCCTCAAAAAATGCAAAAGACATCATCCCATCCTGTAGCCACCTAGACAGTGAGCTCCATTGACTGAGACAATTTCAGGAGGCAATCCACCTGTCCTGTGGTAGTTGCTTAGTGGGGATACAAGGAACAGATTTGTAAAGCAACAGCACGCCACACCAGGACAGATTTGCCACCTGCCATGGGCATCTTTATTCTCCAGCATCATGGCACTGTCAGGTGGGACCAGCTGGTTCAAATTCAAGTGGGAAGTCTTATGTGGGCAAGCATTCCCCCTGGAAAAAGGTGTCATTGTGCTACACATGGTACTCAGTCTGCTCAGGGGGTTGCACTCAGGGATACCCCATTTATTCCTCCTTCATCACATCTGTCCAGCTCCACAGCCTGAGCTGCCCTAGCTGGACTGGACTGAAGCATGCCTAGCCCAGCTGCAATGTAGAAAGAAGGGGAAATGTTCCTTCCACAGCTCCTTGAACACACTGCCCTGACAGAGCCAAGAGCACACCTCATGCTACAGGGGAGGAGGGATACTGGCATTACCCTGTGTCCCATTAAGACATGAAGGACTCTGAGCAGTATTTCAATCAGCACCAGTCAGGGCAGAAATACCCTTTCTCAACAATCTTTAAAAAGAAGTTTAAGATATGGAAAGGCAAAATACCAAGTCAGCATTAGAAATGGCTCTTCCCTCAAGAATACCACTTAATTTTTTTCCTTGCATGGATAAGTAACTTACATTAGCTAGTTTCCTATTTAATTCTCTATTTCTGCTTGTAGAGGATCTCTTTATCTTTTCCACCATTACCAATAGATTTTGACATAATCTCAGGGAAATATTTGTGGCAGCAGAAGCAGGCTGATAGTTCAGTGAGGCTCACTGTTACAGTGAGATAGAGCAGAGCATTATAAGAAAGTTACATCATTTAGTCTTAAATGTTCTCTGAACTAGACTTAAAGTTGTTGCCTCTGTTTAATGTCCAAAGCTAGAGATACGGAGTGACATCAGTATTTCTATTGGGATAGAAAAGATGAGAATCGAGAAAGCAAACAGGTCAAAACACATCTATGTGTCTTGTCAAAATCAGCACCACTGCTTTTCTCCTTAACTGGGGCCAAATATAAGTTATTTCTTCCTTCCATGTTTTTCGGTAAGAGGTTTTGTAAATGTGCAGCGTATCCAGTCCATTACAGTGGAAACTGCCTCTCCCCTTTAAAACTGCAGTAAAGTCACACAGCAGGAGAAGCCTTTCTGATCTATAAACTAAGGGGGTAACACCTACGGAGAAAAAAATGAAAACAGAGGACACTAAAATGAAAGCTCTAATGATTTCAATGGACCCGAAGTTTTTCACTTAGAAGCTTTTTCTTTATTTGCACAGAAACATCTGTAGTGCAAAACAACATGAAAATCACGTGGCATTTCCAGCCCTTAAAAAAACTGGGAGTGCTTCTGAAATATTCTAGGGTTTGGTCAGCTGAACATGAAGAGAAGGAGACAATCCTTCCTGTATGCAGATGTACTGAGCATCTCCATTTCAGATCAAAGACCTTTCCCTGTTGGTAACACCGTTCCTGCTTCCAGTTTTTGTCCTGCCTACCCCCATTCTTATCATGCATGCCATGGGGAACAAAACATCAGTGCAATGACTGTGGCTTCCTCTCAAGTTCGAAGAAAGCAATGTAGAAACCCCCTACCTCTTCTCAGCCAGCAGGCATAGCCACAAAGAAGAAAGCGTTTTCCATATGGCACATGGGCCTATTGAAGGAAGGGCTCCTGGCTGTGAAGAGAAATGCATAGTTTCATATGAGAACAGGCAAGGAAGTCCTAACAGCAGGTGAATGTCAAGTTCTTCCTCTCTTAATTTAAGTTTTTCAGATGCATGTTCCCCCCAGCAGTACCAAGGGTCTTTCTATACATATATTTAGCCCATATCCCCACATAAACTTGCTTTTCTAGGCTTCCAGAAACTATTTAAATTTCTTTCTTCCAACACATGAAACCATGACCCTGGTTCTGGCTAGGGCTCCTCATAGGACTCAGTGAACCAGACACATAGAGATGTGACCAGCCCTGTCAGGGAAACCCTGTGATGTGCCTAAGGTCATTGCCATAGAAAAGAACCTTTTTCTGGGAGGGTGTTGAGGCACTGGAACAGGTTGCCCAAAGAAGTCATAGATGCCAGGTTGGATGGGGATTTGAGTACCCTGGTTTAGTGAAAGGTGTCCCTGCCCATGACAAGGAGGGTTGGAATTAGATTATATATAAGGTTCCTTCCAACCCAAACCATTCTATTTTTCTGTTATTTCCTATTTGTTTATCAGGGAGGTATGGCAAGGGATGATCAAATGCAAGCCACTTAAAGGAGTCTTTATTCATAGGCATGTGAGTTTTAAGTCTGCCACTGCTTTGATACGACCTTTAATTTGCAACATCTTCAAAATAACTTTCTACATAACCTGACCAACATACCCTGAGTTCCCACTAGAGCCAATGGATAGCCAGTGGCACCTCCCGCAGATGGATTTTACAAGCCAGGCTAAATCCACCAAGCTCAGTGGACACAGCTACTCTGAAGCTGTTGCCTAGTGAGGAAAGAAAGTACAAAGAACCATCTGCACAGAAGCCAATTCCAGCTGTCCCACTTGTCTAGTTCTTGGCTGGCTGAGACATGTCATGAATTGCTCTCAAGGGAAAACTGCTGCTGTAAACTGGCCAAGCAGAGAGCAGCTGTCTGCTGCCATGTTACACTCCTAGTTACATGGGAGTGTTTGCAAGGTCACTTATATGGCAAATATAGGAAAAAAAAAAAGAGAGAGAGAAACTGAAGGCAATTTTTTTAAGTCACTTTAAAGGGTTTGTTTTATTTCAAATAACATAGAAAATGAAATGCATTAAATCTTATAAGATGATCATATCTTTACAAAACACGAGTATTTAAGCCTTAATACACATAAAAGGTGATGTGCTGATTTTTTTAAGTCTGTTAGCTCACTCCAGTTGTCTTCAGTAACTTCAGGGGTCTCTCTGAGAAGGGGATATTTGCAACCCAGCTGCTGTGGCATTACCACTGCCCAGATACAAGCAGGAAGGCTTTCTCCTGAAAATTTTTTGTTAGTGAAACATAAATATGCTACTTTAAATTAGGTGTGAATTGATATGTTGCAAGGAGACCAAGTTCCTGTCATTCTCCATCCTGCTATAAAAAAAGCAGAGTTAACAGTTTCTGTGCATCTTGTGGTCAAAGATTAATACCTAGAGTACTGGGACTGCTGCCTGTAGAGCTTCCAGTGCAAAACTGTGTGCCTTGTGTTCACTTCCTGACACAGACTGAAATACAGTCATGGGGGGAGGATTCCTGTCACCTACCCTCAGATATCTACAGTGGCAGTGCCTCCATCCTTCAATTCTTTATGTTCAGTGAAGAGATCTAGGATGCAAAGTCATCTAACCTGATGTTAATATCAACTTCAGAAGGACAACCATCTGAGAATGGATTATTTGTCTTCAGTGACCATTAAGGATTCCAGATGATAATCCCAGCCATGAACACCTATTTGGATCCTATGTATTCTACCTCCAGTGCATAATTTACTATTGGGAATTGTTGTTTCAATATTAAATTGATTTAATATTTAATTTAACATAAATATTTAATATTTACTTCTACAAGAGAGATAGATTAGCAAACTGGAGAAAGGTAAGAAGAGAGCCATTAAGAAGACCAGGGCCTGGAATATACAACATATGGGGAGAATTTAAGGAACCCGACTTACTTTGTTCTGTGAGTCTTCTTAATTCTTTGCTTTCTGACCTAAGAAATAAAGTGTTTTCTACTGAAATTTCTCCATTGCCATGTATAAATATTACTTGCCTTTAATTATTGTAAATCTAATTTAGTAGGTCTTCAGGAAAAGTTATATTATCTCTACTTACTGTTAATTGTTAATAGTACTAATTAATGCAAACCTCAAAACCATGTTGCTCTATGGCAAAAAAAAAAAAAAAGTTACTACTAAAGCAAGAAGACAGCGCTTTCCATTTTGAAGTTTTGCTAACACATGCTGTCTTACTACCTGCTGTTGAATGCCCCCACACGTAGCCTGATGTAACCAGCAGTGCTCAAGCTTTACATCAGTGCAGCTGGTGAGGCAGGGAGACAGAAACCCACTTTTCCTCCTTCCCTCTCTTAAAAACCTGAAAATGTTTAGGAATGTTGCTTTTTTTCACTGTTCTACAGTTGTGAACCAAGTTGTGAACCAAGTTCAAAGGGGTAAAATATTTCTTCAGCACCCAGCAGAGTCAGAGCCAGAGGTGCCAGGAGTACAGCAGTGCTCTTAAAATTGCAGGAAAATAAAACACTGTAATACTGCTAAGTGGCTGGCTTTGTCTGTGCTATACAGCCCTCTCATTCTGGAAAATGGTATAATTCTTCCTAGGCCAGAGGTAAGGCTAGTTGAATTATTTTTATTATTATGATTCAGTGATAGATTTGAGTCATTTAATGAAAAGTGACTTATGAGTAATAGCAATCTGAAATAAGTTCAGAAGAACATCATAATTCACCTTTAAAAGTACCCAAAGGCCTGGTCATACTGTGGTTCAGTCACCGTCTCCAGAGAAAGGTTCACCACTGCACCAAAGCCTCTGTCCCTCTGTCCTGTTCCCTTGGGCTGCACGTAGGTAGGTGTGGGAGCAGCCCTCCCCAGATGAGAGTCCAGAAAACACAGAGACCTG